CTCCAAAATACATCCTCCTGCATCTCCAACTGCACTAGTCTCTCCTCAATCTCGCGAAATTCGGCCAATGCAGCCGAATCTCGTCTGTGTCGTATCTCATCCTGCTCTTTCCTCAATTGCTTGATGCGGTCACCAAACTTATGCCAATGCTCCCCACCCCACCGCATTAGCCTTCCCCACAATGCTGCTGACAAATCAACAGGCCCTTATTCCTACCATCCTGCCAGGCTGTCTCCACCACCCTCCGACAACCGTCATCATGAATCCATGCCATCTCAAAGCGGAATCGTTTCGGTCCCCCATATCTGCGGCCACGCACTCCATCAGTGTTTAAAAAGAGAGCAGAGTGATCAGACTTTCGGGTTAGAATATTTTCGACCCACGCCTCAGTATTCAGTGTAGTCCATCGTGTAGACACCAACACCTTATCCAACCTTTCCTCCATCCATCTATCAGTCCCTTTCCCCTTCTCCCATGTAAACTGGTGACCCCGCATTGGCAATTGGACCAGCCCACAATTGTAAACAGTATCCCCAAACCCTCTCAACAGACTATCCGGGTGAGGATTCCCCCCTCTCTTCTCACGTTGGTATAATAAATCATTGAAATCCCCCAACGCCACCCAGGGCAGTGTAGACTTATCCCTTAACCCACTTAACAATTGCCACGCCTCCCTGCGTCTATGTCTCTGTGGAAACCCATAGAAGCATGTTATTCGCCATATCCTTTCCTTTATAACCACCTCCACATCCACATAGTTCTTCGAATAACTCAACAGCCTAGCAGTATTATTCTTCTTCCATAATAATGCTAAGCCACCCCCTCCCCTAACCGGATCCACATAAAACAAACCCTCAAAACCAATCTTAACTCGCAATCTTTCTGCATGACTCCGATCTACCTTTGTTTCCATTAAGTAGACGAAATCGGGCTTCTTACGGGACACCATGTCCACCACTTCACGAACTGTCTGTGGATTGCCCAAGCCACGACAGTTCCAGCTTATTGTACTCATTGAGATGGGCGGGCCTGACCACCAGAACACGCCGTAAATCCGTTTTTTGAGAGCTCAGACATCACCACATCTCCTGCATCCATCCTTATACTGCCACTACCCATCCCATCCCCCCTGCTTCTCTTAGCCGCCGCTACCACCACCCCCTCACCCTCCCTCTCACCCGTAACCCCAACCCGTACACCTCCTTCGCTCACACCACCCCCCAATGCCGTAACCCCCACATTCCCCTCCCTCCTCATCCCATCTTTCCCTTTCCCGTCCAGTGATCTCAACCACGGGTCCCCCACTTGCCTAGGCCCCCGGCTACCTCCCCCCGCCCTCAGGTCCGCCGTATATGGGAATTTATCCGCAGTGAGCCCTGATTTCCTTGCCAGCTTAAAGAACTTATAAGCATGCCCCAGTAAACCACAATAAAAGCAAAAATTATGTAAGCGTTCGTAGCGGAAATTTACCCAGCAGCTTGACTTGTCACGTTTAATTAGTTTCATCCTTCGTTTCAGCGGCTTCTCCACAGGTATTGACACACGAACCCGGTGAAACGTCTTCCATGGTGCCCCCGGATAACGATCATCAACTTTTACAAACGTACCAATAAAATTGGCCGCTTGTTCAAGAACCGCTTCCGATGTATATCCCAGCGGTAAGTCATAAAGCTGCACCCACATATCCACTGATTTCAATTCAACCGCAGCCGGTCTTGCACCCGGTTCCACCTGTTTACAAACCAGAGTGTTGTTTTCAAAAGACCACGGCCCTTCATCGAGGACCCTCTGCATATCCGTTTGATCGTAAAAGATGAACATAAACAACCCCGGTTGAATTTCCGTAACATGCATACCCCACACTGGTTGCCAAACCGAGGCCATCACTTGCCGCATATACTCCAACTTTACCACCTTTGTTGTCAAGAATCTGCCAACACACACCCACCGCTGTTCCTCCTCCTCCGCCACCACCCCGACACCCTCCCCCACCGGCTCAAAGCCGATTTCCTCCTCCTCCTCAAGCGCTATATCACCCCATCGCTGTGTTAGACGTTCAATAATCTCATCTGCCCGCTCGAGGATCGGTGGCTCCTCATCAACCCCATGCACCTCCGGATTCGTCGCCGAAGTATCCATCCGTCCGTCCCTGTCGTAGTTCGTTGCTGTAGAACGTAACCAGAAGCTTCGAATCGGTCGTGACGCCTCTGCTGTAACCCGTTGCTCGTCGATCGTAAACAAGTAGCAAAACTCAACCGTGATTCGATCAAGGAAAGCAAGCAAAAAACGCCGGAAACTCTAGGAGAAACCCTAGCAAGGAGGCAAAACCCTAGAGAGAATTTCTAGAGAGAGAATTAATTAGTGAATGAATGCAATTTCTACATATATTCTTTAATGCTTGTTAGTTGTTAGCTGATTTTGGGTTAATTAGAGAGTATAACTAATTGATAACATTAACTGATTGTAGAGAGGTGTTTGGTAAATTAGTTGTTAGCTGATAGCTGTTTGGTATAATTTCTTTTTCCAAAAAACTAATTGAAAAAGTTTTTGAGTAGCCGTTTGAATTTTACCATTTTGAAATTACAAAAAAGCTAGTTAACCAAATACTTATATTGATTTTTTAATTAAGTCAAACAATTAATAGTGGTTAAATAAGTCAAAATTGACTGATAGGCTAACTATTTTACCAAACAGGGCCTATGTGTTTTTAGTTAACATGCACATAATATGCCGTTAACATACACCTACAGACACATACTATGTTAATTGCAAGTACATAATTTTTAAATCAGGATCTAAAATGTAAGGTGGCCGGTGAGTCTTAGTCCATGGTATAACAATTGATTATATTGGAATAAGGGTCAAATAGACCATCGAACTGCACCTAATAATGCAATTAGGCCATCGAACTTTAAAAAGCAACAATTAACTCCCTGAACTAACTAATTCTATTCAATTAGTCCAATTTGTAGGTTTTGGAGGTTGTTAGCAGGTCACCCCTAATTTATAATATTTTAAAAAAATTATTATTTAAAATTAAAATTTAAAAAAAAAAAAAAAAAAAAAAAAAAAAAAAAGATACCGTCTCTACCGGAAACGAAGAAACCTTCTTCTCTCCGGCCATCCGGCTATGGAGACGAAGATATTCTTCGTCTCCAGCCAGAGACGAAGAAGGTTTCTCCGTCTCCATGGCCGGAGACGAAGAAACCTTCTTCGTCTCCGGCGTGTCAATCTGTTTTTTTTTTTTTTTTAAATATTAATATTAAATAATTATTTTAAATAATAATTAAAGAAATTTTTGAAAAGGGGTAACCTGCTAACAACTTGGAAACCTACAAATTAGACTAATTGAATAGAATTCGTTAGTTCAGGGACCCAATTGTAGCTTTTTGAAGTTCGGTGGCCTAATTGCATTATTGAGTGCAGTTCGATGACCTATTTGACCCTTATTCCGATTATATTATATCCTATAGTTATGAGCGAGGAAATTCATAAACTTGTTCGAAATATTGATTGTTTTATTCATTTTTTGTAATTGCATGTAATGCAATTTCTTAATTCTTATTAGTGTTTTGTTGTCCATACTGTTCCAATGCTGGTAATTATGATTTCCATGTAATTAAGGTGTGTCTCTTGGGATGATTGTGAATTGTGAATACATCAATACAAGTTAAACACTGTTACATTAGCATAGCATCCATCAGTTTAAAGCTAGAAGTTCTTCCTTCTCCTCAAAACATGACAATACCTTCTCCTTTAGCTCATCAACTTCCATCCCTGGAGTGCCATTCATCTGAAGATGGAGGGTGCAGAAAACCCTGTTCTCAAGAGTTTGAGAAGAAGAAGAATCTGTTAGGACCATTCCCTCTTTCTCTAGACATGAGATCGCATCTGCAAATGAGACCTTGCTGCCATTGTTGGTGCACAGATGAATTGCTACTTGTCTTTCGCCTACTCGGGTCACTGAAACTGCTCCTATGGAGCTCTGGGTTTCCACCCTTCTTCTCTTGTTAAACTCTGCAGATGAACTTTCTTGCCTGCAAATTCTTGAACCCAGTTCTTCCTTCTTCTGCTGCAGCCTCTCCACTTGTTTCTGCAACTCCGGTATGTACTTCACAACACGCGATACCGTGGCGGGAATACTTAATTTCCTCTGTAAAACATCAAACATTAATGAGTAATGTCTTACCAAAGAGATTTCCTTGCTCTTACTGCAACCTTAAAGAACACGAACAAGAAAGAATAGTTCATACCGCTTGATCTGAGTCAGGGAGGAGGGAACGGAGAGAAGAGTAGAGGGCGTTGATTCTTTTTCTCCGGTCACGTTCACTGGCATTATGGCTGAGCTTCTTGATCTCCATGGCAGTGCCACCATTACTCTCTGAAAACTTGAAAGATTCAGAGCTTCCATGCGGGTCAAGGAAAGTCATGTCATCTCTATACATATCAGAGTTGAATTCTTGATGTCTAATGGATTCTTCCAAAGGCCAGAGAGGGCTGGGAAAAATGGGAAATGACAGAGGAGAAGAAAAGGCCAACATGCCTATGTTCCAAGACTTTCTAGAAAAATTGTTCACCAGATGTCACAATAATAGCATATATTTATAACTACACCAAATGCTTTCATCAGGAGCTATCTCAGATTCTCAGAACATATATAAAACAAATTTAACATTATAAAACACAAACTGGGTATAAAAAAGAATAGCCAAGAAAGCAACAGGAGATCAGCATAATTTAAAAGAATATACAGAACTAAACACAGTCAACACAACAGAATATGTAGCTATAAAAAATAAAGAGTATGGAGACATGAAGACCTGCACACACTCAGACATGCATAAAGTGTGGTGTGCATCTTAATTCACAAACCTTATTTAATATGGCCTGTCTTAAGCTCGAGTACTGCACTGTTGTACCATGCGGCATGCTAGACCACTAATAGTCAACTTTCTTCCCAGTACAAGAAAAATGTTTCATAATGACACCCACAAATGATAAATAGAGAAAATATATTTACATAGATATTCTTGAAATATTACAGAAAATACTTTATAGTCTTGGTGTATCTTTTGGATAACAAATATCAATGAACTTTAAAAAATAATAATAAGGGTGAAAGGGGAGGAAAAATTCACCCTTAAAACTGTGAAAGATCAATATTCAATGTTCTAGTTAGAAACTTCAGAATCCCTTGTGGATGATTTAGACTTGCGGCTACATGGGTGGTGAAGAATAAACACCATAAATCTCTTGCCAACTGATCTGCCTTGGGTGTGTAATAAAATCTGTGTATCCATTTGCAACCACATATTGGTGACTGGTTAAGTGGACTTGGGTATATTATGTGGTTTAATGCCGGCCACGACCACGGCCTCGGCCTCGGCCTCCTCCTCCTCGGCCTCCCCTTCCTCCTCGGCCTCCTCCTCCTCCTCGGCCTCCTCGCCCTCCCCCTCTCATTCCAAATCTCCCTCCTCTGCCACGGCCTCTGAACCCTCCTGATCCATCAGGCTTCAGTTTCAATGACTGGACCCCTCTTCTCCTCTGAGGCTCCGCTTCTTTGTCCTCGTCATCTTCCGTGTACTTCGCTGAGCTTCTGGTGACGAAGGAAATTTCGCGAGATCCTCCTGCTCCCACCTTGACATCATCAAAAGCATTACTTTGCTGCTTATTTTTCAGTGCCGCTACCCTCTCTTCCAATGGAAGAGCATCCTCCTCTGCAAGTGATTTACTTTTCCAGAATGCCTCAGCATGCCTCTCATCCTTCACTGCATACAATCTAGATTTTCAAAGCATGAGAACTTTGGTTAGATAAATGACAATGAGGCTCATTGACGTACTTTCTTTTGTGGTAGCAGTTAATGTACATGCCCTTCGTTTTAAGAGAAAGTTTAGAGATCCTCCGTTTTTACATTGACAACCAATACTATCAAATAATTCAATATAAAATATATTCACAGAAAAGATCAATAAGGATTTTTTTAAAATGCTATAACACATAGTTGATATTTAAAGGAAAAACTTGTTCAATCTCAAAAGGAGAGAGAGAGGAAAAGTAAAAACAAAGTGTAGACCAAATTGAGAACAGTGAGTAAAAGCCAGATTCAAATGCTTCATTCTGCACTGGAGATTTTTTTATTTTCTTTTTAAGTTCTTTTTAGAGTTCTTGTCCTGTTCTTACTGAGAGAGAATTCATGGACATCTTACCTTGGAACTCGTGATTTCTTTTTAGAGTTCTTGTCCTGTTCGTCTTCTGATGACTCCATAGCTTCAGATTCATCAGATTCACTTGGCTCATCACCATCAAAAACAGGCATAAAATGTTCCTCCACCAATGAAGTTTGCTTTGTAGATGGCATAGGGTGAAACGCTTGGTACTCTCGAGAAAATTCATCAATTTCATAATCCTGGATGGAACATTAAAATATGTAAACATCTGATCTGGAAGATAATTCATACAAAATAAACAGTAAGGCAGTAAAAGAATGACTTTGTTTTTATGCACAAACAGATGCAGCTGCACTTTGAATTTCTTATTTGCATGCAAAAGCTGTGGCATACAATTTTTTGTATCAAGCATCTTCAATCAATTACTTTCACACGCCACTCACTTCCAGTTAACTTTTCTATACTGGAATAGCTCTAGGGAACTCAATCAGGAAAAAACCTCTATTTTCATGCCATCAGCTTTTCAACTCATTAAGAGTTTTTAGAGGGAAAAAAAAAAACATGAAAGGAATAAGATACATGAGCCACAAATATGATCCCTCTCTCTCTCCAGGCTATCCCAACTCTTGACACTTGTAGCAAAGAAATAGGAAATTAATAAGAAGAATATGATAAGAAGCTTCAATTTTTCTTTTCAAATACAAATTGAGCAACTTCGGAATACCTTATTTTCAAACATTGCTTTGAACCGTTCATCTTCAAAGATTTCACTGCTGGTTGGTCCCTTCTTCTTCTTCTTTGATGTTTTTTTGGCATCAGCATCAGCACCATCGGCATCAGCACCATCAGCATCCTTCTCATTTTCAGCTTCTTCATTCTCAAGAAGTTGAGATGCAAAGGCCCTATTAACTTTTGGCAATTTCCTCTTGATCTGCACAAAGATAAGGAATTTAAGATTGATGATTGCACAAAAAGCTAACACTTGGAAATTGTGCCTTTCATGCAAGATTAAAATAAAGTGATTTATAACCTTATAAAGAAAGACAACTAGCAAAAGAGGAGAGATTAGATGAATTGTACAGGGAACGCTATATTTTTTTTACTAAAACCAAAATCAAACTATTAGTCCACTATTTGTACTTCTCTTTCAGTTAACAAAATGTCACCTTTCTTATGGTTAGATCTCAAATATTTATTTTCATATTGAAAAGGAGGTAGTAATTCAGATATTAAATTTATATCAAATGATGGGATAAACATATCAATCAGAATGAGGCTGTCAGCTGTGGCATATTATCATATATTCATATTTCAGTAATATCCATATGTAGCTATGTTTGCTGCACCTGTTTTTTTTCCTTAACTTTGAACCACAATCTCCCATTAAATGTTAATTGACAGTAGCATATATATACTAATAATCAACAGGCAACAATAAAGGAGATTAAAAAAAAAACAACCACAAAATGTTTGTTTACACATATAACACTAACCGTGATACGAGATTCACGTTCTTTTTCTAATTTCTCCTGTTTCCGTCTCTCTATGTATGCATCATAGATAAATGGATCTGCAAGAGCTTGTGCCTGCACAAGTAACCATCAATAAGTATTTAATCCAAAGTAACCATCAAATCCATTTTAATATTATATACGAATTACTTGCATTAATTTCTTAAACATAGGATTTGAGATCCATGACATAATTTCTATCAAATATTCAGGAGAGCAAACTTTGATAGAGTTACTTGCACTAGTAACATTCAGAATAGTAGAATACAACTCAGAATTTGATACTCTTTCAGTTCAAAACAACTAGCTAATGGGTACAAGAAGAAGAAAAACATTGTATTATAAATTTACCTTTTTATACAGGCGGTAGTCAACAAAGTAACCATGCATATAGGCTCTTAAGAGGTTTGTTCCTATCAAATGAGTCAGATTCAACCTCTCAAGATCTTCTTTTGTCAAAAACTTGAAATCATCATAAATAGTTGTTTGTGCACCCTCCTCCATCTCTTCCTGTGAATAGAAACCCAAAGAAAACTCTTCAATGGTTGAAGCCAAAAAGATGAATCAAAAGCATATTCTGGAATTGACAAAATAGGAAGCTTAATAATACCGTTAAGTTTTCTAGGTAAGAGCACCATTTAGGAGCTGGGCCTAGTGCAGGTATGAAATAAGAAGGTATTTGACTGGAGTCTAGTGCTACCAACATCAAGCCAGTGCCACTAAACACACATATATCATTGATTCTGCCACCTGTCGGTTCAATGCTTGTCATGCCTTCTCCCTGAAAATGTCAATGTGCAGACAGTCAATAGAAACTCCCAAATAAATTCAAACAACTTGAGCAATCACATCCAGAAATAGAAAATTAAATTTAGCATGAAACCCATTATTAATTACAAAATAGTCCTAATTGCAACTAAGACACCTGAAGACATGTACAGCACTTATAATTTGGGGGCTGTTTGGTAATTAATTTGTCCTACTTACAACATGTACATGTTGGCTTATAATTTAGTTTCTTTTCAGTTGGTCAAAAAGAAACTAAAAACATAAACATGCTTGGGTTAATATTTTGTTTGTAAGGTGGTGGATAGGTCGATAATACAAAGGAAGGGAGGAGAGGCTGGGATATGCCAAGGGAATTGGAATTGATGAGGTGCATCAAGAAGGTATTGGTTGTTGGATCAGATCAAACTGAGATGAAAATAGGGCTAGTTAAGTGGGGAGGGGTTTGTAAAAAATGGTAGAGTTTTGGCAGAGATGTTATTGTTCATACCATCACTGTCAAGACTACAATTTGATTTGAACATCATTGTATTGTACTGTAATATGATTACACGTATGCTCACCAAATAATTTGTGATAAAAGCTAACTACACTCCAATAAACCCACTAAAGCCAGTCTTAACATAAAATTGCTTTCAAACATCAGTTTCAGTGTCACAAAAGCTAATTCTCATACACTAAGAGTCAATAACAAAAGTAAATATTCATCAGAATTTCTGGAGTCCATAGCTTCAGAAATCAGCAAAATAATGCAAATTAAGAAAACACTCAAAAGTTCAGGGCATCAAAAACTACAAGAAGCTAAAACGAAAAAGAATAGAGAAAAATGACAAATTTTCTTACTGTATTGGGGTCCCAGACCCTAACAATGTGGCTGTCAGCAGTTATTAACTTTGGTTGCTCAGTGTTAAGTGTCTTGTGCCACTTAATATTAAGTATTGGGCTTCCATACCTACAAATTATCCACAGAACCATAAGTAATAAATAAATCAGCACAAGTTGTGAAACACATTATAAGCTTTATGAGCAACCTACATGTGATCCTTTACACGCATTGGATGTGAAGAACGCAGGTCATAAATCATAACCTGCACTCCAAGAAATACTGTGTCACTTGGTAAGAAGTGCTAAAACTTATGGACCAGCATAAAGAATAAAGTCATAGATAAATCAAGCATCCAAAACGTGAATTATTAGGTGTCAACTGGTATAACACACTTTGATACACAGTCCAGAAGAAAACAAATGAAACTACATATACAATAACCAGAAGATGAGAACATACAAAACCAAAAAGACATGTTTCTACAGATCAGGGCAGTTCCTGAAAGAACAAAAATACATCTAGAAGAAATATTTCTAAAGCCTCATATACGGAGTAACAAAATGAAGAGAGAACACGGCTCAAACTACTGTTTGATTCCAAAGAAGATGAAGTACAGCATATCTTGCACCCCACTGCTCAAGGAAAATTCTACTTGGACCAAGAAGCTAAGAAAAGATCTTATTTCTATTATAATGAATTACAGCTTCTCATTACTCGGGCATTAGAAATCATGCATATGCAAAGTATGGAATGGAAAATCAAATACTCTTTTAAGTGTATCACAACTTCCTTAGTTCATTTAGCTTACCTTTCCATCACTACTTCCAACTGCCGTGAGGTAACCTCCATCCCCATCAAACTCTATTGCAGTGACCTCCTGCAGTTTATGCATAATGGTATTTTACAACCCTTAAGTTATTATTATTATTATTAAAATTACAAAAATAATAATAATAATAATAATCCACTTGCTTCCCTTCTGAGTTCTGACTGCTTTATATTGGATAAATAAAAAGTAATAGTAGCATTTTTATGTTATTGGTATGGAAAACAACCTGGTCAAGATCACCAGCAGCTGCAGCAGCATTTATCCTGCCAACTGAAGATCTTGCTCTCGAGTCAAAGCATTCTACAGCACCATCATCACCTCCACAAGCAATTAGTCCATGGATCTTACTGAAAAACCAAGCGTATTGATGGAAAAATATCAGAAGAAAGGACTAAGTGAAAAGCAAGAGAGAAGATTTTCCAACTGCTTATCCTACTATGGGCATGCACGCCCGCACACAATTTGAAGGATTTATTTAAAAATGACCACTTTTAGAGGAATACAAATAACCTTCGAGAAACAACATTTAGTGCTGGGGACTGTGTGCTTAAAGAGGTAAGGAAGCGTCCCTGCAAAACATATATATATAAAATGTTAAAACCTGAAGATGGAAATAAGCAAGGTGATAAACCACAAAAGCTATTAATATACTAAAACATATTGAATCACCATAGACTAAAAGAGCCAAATATTGACATTATATATACATAATATATACAAAAATATGAATAAAAGACCACCAAAAAAAAAAAAAAATTATGTTTTGTGAATTTGCAAGACATGATGAAAGATACAAAGATATCAATGAGAAAGGAAATAATATATATATATATATATATATATATATATATACCTGTTCTAAATTTATTCTGTACAAATCTGGCGATGATGCAGCACATAGCAAGTCACAAGACCAGCAATCATATGCAATATCCCTTCCCATCCTATTTCAAAGAAAATATAAGCAAACATTTAATAATTAAGAAGTGAAGGTTGTTACATGATGATATTGATAAATCACCAGAGTAAAGCTTAAAATGGATAGGATATCCAGTGAGGCAACCAACTGCTGCTGCCCTCTCTCATGAGGGACAGAGAATTAATCCACTATAAACATGAGATTTTACCAGATTTAGCCAGATCTAACTATCACCAATTTTGTCTAATCAATCTGGCAAGCTTTAGAAACATTCACAGCCACAGGTAGCATGTACTGACTACTGATACCAACATTATATTTGGCAAGATTCATCTAAAACTAAAAGAATGTATCCTGAAATTAGCTTTTGAATTTTGAGATATGTAGAAATGTTCTACATCTGGAAGCACTGTAATGTTCACAGAGCAACTAAAATAGTTTGTTCATCTTTCAATTCTATCCCTGCAGAGTGATATACAACTATACAAGTGCGGTAATACTTCAATTGGGATACAGAAAAATATAAACCACCATCAAATTATATTGCTGTGAGTCTGGACTGCAGTTATTCTTCACTAATTCAATCAAACAAAGAATTGAAGAAATAGAACCTGCCGGAGTAGCTAACAAATTTTTAGATGAAAACAAATCTTCATGCCATAATCTTGTTTGGCCCACAGCTTATTAGAGCTAATCTACTTCAAAAGGCATAAATTTGGCCAAAGACTAAAAAGACAAGAAGGCTTTTAAAGCCCAATAAGTGAGAAAAAGCTCATTGTGCAAAGGCTTTTAAAAAATATGTCTTTTCCAATAAGCTCCAGCTGGGCCAAACAAACACTTAGAGCAAACAGGGAAAAAAACAAAACATGAAGAACGTACTAAAAACAGCTAACACAGTACTCTAAGAAATAGAACAAGGAAAATCTTTCAAGAGTCAAGACAGAACAATATGGCCTGGAATTGAGTAGATTTCAATATGAGGAAATTGAAGGACGGAAGTTTTTCAAGACACAATAAACTGGCCTGAGAATAAAGTAAATAGCATGTCACTAAGAAAGGTTGCATCAACATTGGAATACCGTTCAGGATATAGTATCATCAGTTTGTCCTAATTTAGAAATTGCTCCAGTTATGTGTTCAGAATTCAAAGTAAGGAGGAAAGAACCTTGGAATGCGTAAACTGTAGTGACTTCCATATTTTGCATGGAGGCGAACAGAGCGATCAGAGCAAAGAAAAGCAATTTTTGAGTAGTCATCACTCAAGACCTACAAAAGCAGAGAAGCATGAAATAACTTGTTGCTGAAGACGCAGTTTGTAAAACATCAAATGCACTAAATGTGGCATAATCACATAACAGAACCCATATAATTAATATTGTTTATTATTGCATGAACATACAGTATTTTATCATAAAATGTTCACATTATAAACCCAATCAAACAATAACCAACCACCAGCGTAACAGTCAGCAAGGAATGCAAACATGAAGACAAGCAATTCTCATAGCAAGACTAAAGAGCTTACAATAAGTTTGCACCTATGAGAATTTAATACCTGAAAATTAACAATCTCTGAGATCAAATGCCTTTCAAACTTCATTGACAGTTCACGCAGCTCATATACTTTAACTTGTGGCGGGTAAATGCCTGAATTAAATAAATCATCACCATTGGTAAAGGAGCTAACAAATAGCTGGGGAAAAAGTGAATAACAGTAAATACTCGTCAACTTCACCAAGCAAGGAAAACAAAGAGGCAACAACCAACAGAGGAACAGGAAGAGAAGTGCAGAAAACATCAATAGTTCACTACTTTTGATCTCAAAGTTCGCCAAAAATTCTCAGGGTTTGAGACCTTTAACATAATGTACTTTTTTCCTTTCAAAAAATACTTTAAAATAGCTCATGAAATTTTATGGCATAGACAATCTTCATTAAGCATCAAGGGAGAACATGTTCCTTAAATGATAGCCTAGGTGTATGAGAACAATAATGTCTGAATTCTGATATATTCATAAACCATGTAAATTGTTTATAAGTTACACCAGACAGATATATTTTGCATACAACAGACTTCAGTAAAGCAAATGATATTAAAGATATGAAGGAAAGACATGAAGCAAGAAAACTAGAAATTGTTTTCTGTAACTGTATAACATTATATATATCTTTTCAGTATCCAACAGTTCTGAGCACATATCTGGAAACTTAAATCACCTGAGGCAATGAGATACTCTCCATCAGGAGTCACCTTAATTCTAGTTGTAGCAGTTTCAAATCTCAAATCTTGGATTATATCCAGTCTTTGCAAATAATCTACCAAAAAAAAGACCAATAAGTTAATAAAAGAGAAAAATACCCCTAAAAAGAGTATATATCAAGAAACTATAAATGAGTAAATCCATACTTCCAAAGCCCACGTGCATGAACCATATCATTATTAATTTACAAGCACAAACTAGACACAATCAATCCTTATCCTCTCCATTTACAACAGTAGTAACTTAAGTCTTTAAGTTTCTCTCTAATAATACAAAAAGACAGAGCCTTTCATTCTTCTAGCAGCTTAGTACAACTTATTTCAAAATCCAAAAGGAAACCAACTTTAAAATTCCAAAATATCTAAGACCAATGAACAATTTTATCCCTATGATATATATATGTATATATATATATATATATATATATATATCAGTGTACCATTGATGTTATTATAGCCAAATGTTGATGGCACATATATCACAAAAGATTTTTTGAATCTACAGCATTACTATGATTAATGCGGGGTTATAACTATAGATCAAGATAAATTAATACAAAGTATAAACTGATGTCTAAAAATCTCTTCTAGTGCAAAAGGCCGAACCTTTCAGATTTTATTTCTTGGGACAAGTCAATAAGTTTATTAAAAATCATCAAGGGGTACAATCCAAGTGCATGAAAATACACTTGCACTTGCATTTCTTTTCACTATCTTAGTACAAATTACTTTAAATTCATAAAGAGACAGATTTTAAACCCTCGAAGTCTTTAAAAAAAAACAATATTAATTAAAAAATGCATGAATTACTTCTTTCTATATAACTAGACTTAAAATCAAAGACACTATACCACTACCTTTACAACTAGTACGTACTTCGAACATGTAAAGAACGAATTGACTTCGAACAATGCTTTACTTCTATTACTATGAAGTATGATGGGTTATAACTACAAGTTAATACTTGAGAGCAATTGCATAAAGAGAAAATTGGGAAGTGCATACTTGGGTCTTTGCGAAGGGCTCTGAGCTTCTTAGGTGGAAGCCATGTAGCTACGGAACGGTTTTGACCGGCGACGGAGTACATCTTAACCCCATTGATCGACGTGGACTTCAAATTCCCGCCTTGGTACGCCATTGCTTAGCTTTCAGCTTTAGGTTGGAATTTTAGACAGACAAAACGCCAAAGAATCAAAGCTCCTATCAGCTAAGCTCAGCCTACCACCTCCTGTAAGCGTCCAGTATAGAAGTTGTTTAGGGGTTTTGTTAGGGTTTCTGTAATGGCTGCCTGGCTGGCGGTTCAGAGTTTGATGTATTAGGCTATTAGCTCTCCAATTAGGGATTTTGGTCTCAACCATTAAATGCGGATCGGGACCCGACCCATCAGGTAAACATATTGGGTTTCAAGCCTAATAAATAAAAGTTGAAAAGGGTCAAATAAGTTATCAAATATTATTTACGAAGTCAATTAGACACTAAATTTTTTATATTAACAATTAAACCCATTAACATTGTACCAATGAAATCAAAAAATCAATTAGTAACATGTTATCACAGGTCATTATAGTTCCAGCAATCTCGGACGATATTTTCGACGACAAAAACGACCGACGAACATGGTCCAATGTAACAAGTAGATTAGCGGTTAAGAGTTGTTGTCAAACTATGAAAAATGGACAATATTAGTTTTATAAATATTGTAAAATTAAAAGTTTGTAATAATTATAAAATTAGTCTATATATTTTTTACTAAAACCTGCAATTATTATTAAATTTGATAGACGAATGTGATCAATTATCACTTTTTGCAAAAGGAACTTATTCCCGTTCAAACATCATTTCTAAGCACCTTGTACTCAAATGGCATGTAGCGACTCTCCCATATGGGAGGTCACGAGGTGAGCCTAATAGAGTCTGTAATATATATATATTTAAAAGAAATTATAATTTCATTATTTTTTTTGTTAACAAAAATAAATAATGTACTGTGCTATGTGAGATAAGTCACTAACACATGCTTTTCAAGTGTACTAACAATTCAGCATTGTTATAGGCATTACGAAAATATATAAAGTTCAACCCGTAAGTGAAACATTACTAAAAGTTGAGAGAAATTTCTCATAATTAATTTTAGAAGAATTATGATTTTTTTTACATCCAATAGAGGGGTTTAAAGTGGGCACTAAATAATCTCAACAGTAATATTACTACAAGGTGAGGGATCAATTGTTATATTGTCCACCGATGTGCGCCTTAAAAATCTTATATTTCGTATGTACATAATTGTATAAAAGAATACACATAAACTCATAACATAATACACATAATCTAACATAATATATAATATACATAACTCTTATGACGCACAATGCATTGTGTGCCCTGGTGCACGATATAATTTGTTGTAAGGAATACCGAGTTGGTTGTACGATCTCAAGGATGCATGACACTAATGGAAGGGAATGATGAACAAAACTTTAAGGAGCCGTTTGGTTCAAAGAAATGTTAAATTGCTGAGAATGTGGTATAACTTGAACCAAACACCACCCTAAAATTAAGAAGTCGAGGTTACTAGTCCAATGAAGCCCTCTATTGCTGGCTTCTTTTGGAAACGCACTACAGATGTCCCTCTGCTGTGCTGCATTGTTGATTTATCCAAACACCCTTATCATGCACTGGCGCAGTGCACTGGGTTTGTGGCAAATTTTCCTACCAGCTTCCGCAAATAAATAAAACGTGGGCGGCAGGATTCGAACCTGCGCGGGCAGAGCCCACATGATTTCTAGTCATGCCCGATAACCACTCCGGCACGCCCACAGTGCTTTGCAAAGGTGTAATATTAAATTATAGTACTCTCACAATGGCTATTTCATTAAAAGAATGATGAATCAAATTATGATACACAACGATAATTATACCTCCAATTGCATACGTAGCTATATAACCAAGTTGGTCAAAATTTTGGTTTGGAATTACAATGTTTCAAGTTTAACTTAATGTGAGAGTGATTTATTGAATTTTTTTTATTTGAGTTGACCAATTATGGACAATTTAAAGTAATTTATCTTAATATATTTTTATTGTAGGCTATAGTCATAATGTGGGCTTCATTCAAAGCGCACATTTGAGTAGCGGCTACGAACATTCTAGTAAATAAAACAAAAATACATAAACAAGGTGACCCCAGTTAATTCAATGATCACACACACACACACACACACAAAACAAAACAAAACAAAAAAAAAAAATCATAAATTTCACCGAGAGAGAAGGGCCATGAGTTTGAATCTTGTGAGGACAAGCCTTGAGCCCTTGACTCCTAGCTACTTTTGTGGCATTGCCCGCCTAAAATTGACGGAATTCAACATTTTCCAACAAGTATATAACCAAGTTATTGAATAATGACAATGTGACATGTAATTAAAATTTGGGTATTCTATTTTATTAAGCATCTATAGTGTTTGAGTGGAAGACAAGTAATACATGTACTGTACTATCAAAGTCAAGTTTGGATGACATTCTTTTCAACCGTTATATTGTCGAATATTGATATACATATTTATTGGTAGTACATTAAAAGTTCATTTTTACTATACTACAAGTTCACTTTTAATATGATATTTACATATAAACACATAGTACATTAAAAATAAACGTACATTATACTAAAAATAAAGTTATATTAGTGATTCGTTTTACAATGTGGATCATGATTCATGATATAATTTGCTATTTTTTGAGTACTCACTACTCGAGTCCAATTACACACACAACAATGACCTAGCATACGTCATATATTCCCAATTTGTTTTTCTTTAATGTTATGTGGATTATAATTGACTTTTATTTTAATTTATATATTAAATTGGATTTAAGTTTTAAACGAGTAATAATAAAGTCAGAGTTTAACCATTCAAAAACTTTGCAAACAGGGCCACGAACTTTGCAAGGGACAGAAAATGCAAACAGTTTTATTCCGTTCAACTCATCACTACCAAGTACCAAGTACCAACCATACCAACATGGCCTCTCAAATCCGTTACATAAAAACATGGAGAATATATACAACAGATTCTGATAAGATTCATATATATATATATAGTGAATCCTTTGTAGTTTATACAGTGGAAGTGGCTACTCAGATTCCAAAAGACCAGAGATTCTTTCAAACTCGAACTCCGATTCTGTGGGCAACCTGCACCAAAAACAAGTTTACCGGCCTTTAGATCATTGTGCCGAAGATCTAAAAGTTCACAACTTTGTCAGACTGAAATCTTGCTAGCAAACATTATAGTGAATTCAAGTGAAGCTAAGGTACTAGTTAAGATGAAATGATGAAAGTGCAACCCAAGAATTAACGAAGAATTGAAAGGAAGTTATCTTCCATTTCAGGTCTTCCTACCGAAGAAAATTGGGGAAGGAGGAGAAAAGATTCTCGTGCTACTTGTCACTCATATGCAGCTTCCACTTAATGCTCTTTAGTTTTAAAAAGGAAAAGACGAAAGAGAAAGCATCCTTGAAGTAGTGGGGGCGTGGGGCATCTGGAAACTTTCATTACCGTGTGGAAAAAAGGTCTTTCCCTTCTATGCTTTTCTGGAGATTCTTGTTTTTCTTTCAAGGGTTTGGCCGTTTGGGAAGGGGGAACGGGGAATATGAACCCTCAACTCTTCCTTTTCAAAAGCTAACATAAAATGTTACCAAAGGGCGTTTGGTCTCGATACCATGTTAAAAAGGAATTGCAATTAACCATGTTCATGACAATCTTCAAGGTGGATTTTCTGTCAGATATTATAATGTGAAAGAAAGAGGACACATTGTAGAGTTGGCAGTTTCTTAGTTTTCTCAAATTGACACAACGAAGAAGAAAAAGCCGATGCCAATCAAATACTTTGACACTTCACGGGACCATTAAAGTGCAATTACCAGTCAATGTAAAAAAAAAAATTTTTGTCAGGCCACGAACGGTCCTGAGCAGACTCTAACTGTATGAGGCACCTTTAAGCCTGTACCATACTCAGACTAATCCCTGTTCGCACAGGCCTGGCCCAATTAAGGGGCAAAGTGCTGGCCAGATTGGTTTTTCCATACGAGAGGGGGTTCGAACCAAAGCCAGGAATGTGAAGGAGAAATTTGTCAGTTACCTCTTTGAAGGAGTGTACATCACTGCCCCAAAGCCAGGCATCACAGCCAGCATCTCTACCACCCCAAATGTCATTTCTACGATCATCCCCTACATGCACAGCATCCTCGGGGTTTACTCCTAAAAGTTCACAAGCTTTTAAAAATATCATTGGATTTGGCTTCTCTGCTTCAACCTGCTTACAAGCGGGAGAGAATAAGCAACTGCTCTGTAATAATGTGAAACTCGAATGGAGAAATAAATAAAAAGGGGAATAAGCCATTACTTCAGCTGACACAGCCACAGCATCAAACCAGTGATCACAGTTCAGATCCCGCAACAATGGCCTCAAGCGTGTGTCAAAGTTTGAAACAATAGCCAACTTTACCCCTGCGTTTCTAAGAGCCTGGAATACCCTCTCTGCATCGGGGTCACACAGGTGCCAAGCCTGTTAAGAAAATTAATTAATTATTTAGGAAACTAGATTTATCTCTGGGACTTAAAGAACCAATATTTCGTTCTGAATATCAAGAAAATGATTTCTAAAGTCAATCAATCATATTCGCAAATGAAGCCAACCTTGTTAGTAGTATAATAGTTATACAACTCCTCAAAGTACTGAGAATCAGAACACCCAGTAGACGAACTGACTATATGCTGCCAGAATGGCCTCCCGTCATTAACATATCTGCAATTCAATAAACCAAACACTAAGACAGTATTGTTGTCATATGCTACACCGTGCCAACCGTCTACTGAGGAATAGAATAAATTTCTCTTTGAGGAGTCACAAAGAAAAGGACAGACACTAGTAGGGGAAAACGAAAGAATTGAGAGTTTATTATTTCAGTAAGAACATCTTCCACCCAATTAAAGAAATGAATATGGTAAGAAAATGAAATCCACCTAAGATGCAAAGTAACTCAAGCCAAATCACTAAAGCTCACTTTTCTCTTGTCTCATACCAAGATGACGAGTTCTTTAATACTATTTGGAATTTAAATAATAATCCATTTCAATCAAGCCAATATTTAATAGACAATAGCTTAACTTTTCTATATCAGCATTCCAATCAAGTATAATATCAGAACCAGCTATCAGCTCTATGGGCCAACAGATAAAAGCAGGACACATAATCATACAGATCTGAACTAAATTGTGTCAGTATAAATAACCCAAAAAAATAAAAAAATAAAAAAATAAAAAAAACCACCCTATGATCATATGAAATCATAAATTGACAAATAGCACTATCGAGTATCGACCAAACATGAATATGGACCTTTGCTATACATCTAGCATTAACAAGATGTTTGACATATTCTAGGAAAAATAGTTAGAAGAAAAGATGGTACTAAAATATGCTTCCAAACCAAAAGAGTCACCTGAGCCTAGATCTACTCCAAGGCTGCTCATAAGCCCTTCTGTATCTATTCAGTATCTCAGCTTCAGAATACTCCACCCCATATTTCTCACCAATTTGCCTGTATATCTGCAACATTAAAAAGCAGAAAACAGACTAATTAGAAAGGTTAAACTCCATAAAATCATGATCTTATATAACTAAGACAAAATAGTAAGCAGAAAGTTGAAGGCAAAGTGTCAAGAGTGAAATAAGACCTACTTTCAAGCTAAACTATACCATCCCATTTTCAATCAGGTAGAGAAATGCAAAAAGAATGTGATTTCTACTAAACACCAGTATATTATCAAACCATAGCTAACTGTACAATTGTCAATTGATGAATTGAAATTATCAACAAGACAACACTATGGCATCCAAATCATAAGCAATAAAACACAGGAAAAAAACTTCAGATCTCAAAGGCCTTTCTTTTGGGTGACATGAAGAACACAAACAGAAGAAATAGGATGAATGCACATACAGTAATTATACTTCACTGTATAGATAAACATGCAGAACTATACAACACTGTAAAGACTAAAACACAAATTCTTCCATTTAACAAGGAAAATAGACAAATAATAATACAAAATCGAAGGAACAGAACAAGAAAAGGGTGAGATTGGTCTATATGCATAATAATATAATATGCGCGCGAAAAGCCAACCTGAGCCATGGGCTGAGAGGGAATTACGAGAGTGCCTACGGCATCAACAAGGAGGGCCTTATGGGTGAGCCCACCATACATCGCCCGCCGGTAATCCTCGTAATCTTTGAGCAAGCCGAACATTCTGTCCGGCGATTCCTCCACGGCCGCAGCAGTGGTCGAGAATGACGACGACCCAGAAATCCCATACGAGTCGGGCAGATGCCCATCAGCTGACCCGCCCACAAAACGATGGGTTATGGATCTGCGGGTTAGGCGGGTCAGCGCTCCGGTGATCCTCGCCGTTGTCCTAGCTGCTGCCATTAGAGCCATCTTTGAAAAGCTTGCTCATTTAATCCGTGCATGCACAAATGACGTGTGGTTATAATAATACACCGTACTGATTCGTAATAATGCAATTATTTTTCTGGGAAATTTCTTTAATTTGGAAATCGCATTTATAGAGACAGAATTGTTGTGTGTATTTCTTTCTTCTCTCTCTTTGGGAATATTTTGGACACTGACTAGAAGAGCAAATACTAAATAGTGGTGGAGGGGAAGGCCCAAGGGGAGAAGATGAAGGCAGGTGATTGTGTGTAATTACCCTCTTACCCTTTTGAGCTTCCTGAATGATTGGAATTATTTTTAATAATTTATTTTTGAGATTTGACCAACCTTTATAATGTAGCATTCTATTGCTTAAAAATGACCAACCTTAATTATTGTCTCGGAGATATGTAGTCAATTAGATGAAATATGATTTTCGATCAAAAAATTACGATTTCAATTCTTATTAAAATTATCTTTGTTAACATTGAAAATTTGATAAAAGATTTTTTTTATATTATTAAATTTGATTTTAATAATATTAATATTACCTAATTTGTTTAATTATATAATATCAAAAGAGTTTGAACCTATCAAAACTCTTCTATCCGTGATCTCATTCATCTAAGAAAAATTATGTAAACACCCTAAAAATATTATTCAGAGATCCAATAAAATGATCTTGAAAGTAAATGTCTATCAATGAAGATCCTGCAAACGCAATGCATGTTGATCCAAACCTTCTATTGAAGATCAAGCCGCAATGCATGTTGATCCAAATCATGAAGATTAAGCCATTTGAACGCAGAGGTCTTTCAACGAAGAACAAACATATAAGCTCTTATTTGAAAAACATATAAGCTCTTCTTTGAAGATCAAACCACACTGAATTTCAGAGGCCCTTCAGTGCCCCATTGAAGATCAAACAATTTGAATGCGGAGGCCCTTCAACAAAGAACAAACATATAAGCTCTTATTTGAAAATTAATCCACTTGAACTATGGAGGCACTTCAGTGGAGTGTTCAAGGCATAACTGTACAGATCATGTACCGACACTGTATTGATACTACTTGTAACTAGAATTTTGAAGTTCAATATATATATAATTCAACTTTATTTGTTCACAATCTCAATCGAGTTTATTGTACATGACATTTATAATGCGGTTAACACCTTATATTATAGGGGAACATAATTAACCCACTTTCAGATAGCATTTGTTTAAATTTCCATTTTTATTCAACAACAAAAAAATGACTACCACTTTTCTTATTTTTGTTTATATTTCTTTAAATTTAGACAACTAATTAAATGGTAGATATAAATATGTAATTTTGATTTTTTTTTCCCCTTATATGAAATAGATATTCCTAGTGAATTTATTTGATAGATTTTGAGTTCTAAATGGCTAATAAAAATAATAATAATTTTATATAAGTGCTCAAAATTTGGCAAACATGTTTACCCATATTATTTAAGTTTATGTATTAATTTTGTTGTCAAAATTTAACAAAATATATATTTACGAAAATGCTTAAAGCTAACACTTCACAAATAACCAATAGACTAAAAGTAGATGTGACAATAATCAATGGAATAAAACCTATAATTAAGGTATAAAACTAATAAATATAAAATTTTAAAATTCTTCTCCCAAAAGGTTGAATCTCCAACTCTAACAGGGCGTTTGGTTGGAGGGATTTTAAATTCTCTTCCCACTTAATTCTCACATAATTCCAAAGACCATTAAATTCCGTAGTTTGGTTGAAGGGAATTGCAATTCCCCCATTTTCATGGAATTAAAATTCCATGTCCCCCTGGGATTTTAATTCCTGGGAAAAAAAGATAGTGATGAGTCAAAATAACCCCTTCATTTTTTAACATAAAATTAATGTCTAACAACAATAATGAACATTTTTGACTTTATACTACTTATTCCCTTTCAATTCCCATTTATACCAAACATTAGAATTGAAATTCCCAGTAATTCTATTCCTGTCAACCAAACATTGGAATTTAAATTCCCACTTTATTCCCAGTAATTCAACTCCCTTGGAATTACAATTCATTTCCCACATAATTCTCCCCTCCAACCAAACGCTCTGTAAAGGTCACCACATTCCGGCCCGACATAACATTTGGAAGGATTAAAAAATTCAAAATACTTGCCCACAGAATTGCCAGCTCAAGCTACAGACAGAATATGTGAATCAAACGGCAAATACGAGGTTTAATTTTCAATTCGAAATATTGTTTTAGGTATAATGATGTTTTAATTTAGGTATAGTGAACAAATTTGGACTTTCTTTCGTAAACAAAGCTTAATTTAATTTCGATAACAAATTTATTTTATTTAATTCGAGTTTTTATGTCATGCATACATCCAAAATCATCCGACTCCCGACTTGGTTTATTAAGTCAAATCAACCAATAATTCAATATTACTATCGTAAAACACTTATTTATTTATTTGTTGCTTTATTAAGCACTAAAAATATCAACAACAAAAAAAAAGAATTACAATTATGACCCAAATACGGAGTAATATTTATTAAGCACCTAAAATAGTTTTTTTTTTAGTAGAAAAAAAAAAAGATTATATATATATATATATTAAAATTACTCATGAGTACAGTATCGGTTTTAAATGGGGTTAAGTTCGCCTTCCTGTTGGAGCTATCAATTATAATTAACATTCTTAGAATGAGCCGGTCAACTATTAGTCTATTAGTAACATACATTAGTTTACATCTTTGTGATAATTTGCCAACTAATTAAATCACAATGCGGTCTTCACATAAAATGCAGATTTTGGTAAAGACTCCAAGCTTTCACCTAAATCAAAAGTTTTAAAGAGGTCCAACCTATACTATGATTTATATATTATTTATGTAATAAGTTCAAATGAGAGAATGTTACCAATAATTAAATTTATATCATTTTGATACAATATAAAAATTATGCCCCATTCATTTAACAAAGGGACACCAGTGTTGTAGTTTGATTGCTGCCATAAATATGAGTGACTGGGTTACATGATTGAAAACTGTATTTCATGTATATGGTTGAGCTCAGACCGACCAAACTTGTGTTGAAAACGATGGTATAATTTTATTTTATTTTATTGGTTAATTTCATATACATTAACGACGGACCACAACTACGAGTCAAGGATTGTGTATATTTTCAAATAAAATATTACAACTCATTGAAAACAAAGGTAAGTATATGCAATTAGGCATTCCAAATAATAACGACATCCATAATTAAATAAGTTGAGTGTTGTTATTAGAGCCAACGTAACAAGGGACAAAAAGAAAAGTATTATTTAACAAATGAAACCTCAGTTAACTATTTATATATAAATTAATGACAATGAAATATCATTGTCATTTTTTATTATCAAATTTTCAAATTTTCAATTCAATTATTACAATACATAATTTAATATAAAAGATTGTGAGATTTAGAAAAGAATGATGAATTTTAATTTTAAGAAAAATATTTATTTTTAAAAAAATGGTGATATTTTGTTGGATGGCTAGTGAAAATCGTAATTACTACTCGATGGTGTGTACTTGGTAAATCTCATTTTGACTCTAGTCGGTAAAAAAATACAATGAAGTAAACAAACTTAAATAAAATCCCTGAAAGTCAAATTTAAAAAATTGTGATTACTGACTCTATTACAATTTACAATGTAATATCTGTTCATAACTATTGAAGCTCAAACCCACGACCTCCCGTATAGGAGTGCAACCTTGGTGCCATTAGACCCCAAGGTCTTAGCAAATATTGTGATTAATTACTAAGCAAATAATTTGACGGTAAAGATTTTATGATCGAGAAGCATAACTATGGTTCTTCTAAATGGGATGTCACAACCCTAATAGATTGTGAGTAGTATTTTAAAAAAAAAAATAAATAATCCCACCAAATTTATTGGTTCATAAATAAAAAGAAAATGGGGATATTTATTGGTTGTGATGGAGTGAAATAAAAGGCAACCCAAAACAATAAAGCAATGAAATAGAAACCACAAGATTACTATAACGGAAAACGATGGAAGTTGATTTGTTGAGATTCTCAAATCTAAAGACTAATGTTGTGGAACGAGTGTTTCGCGGACCCACCCGATTTCGAAAATGTGGTTCGGATTCGGAGCAGCAGCGCGGCAAAAGGGAAATAGATCTGGACCACATTTGTAGGAAATGGCATGGGATTAAGATTATTTAAGATTTAAGATTAAAGTCGAGATTATTAGATTACTGTTTGATCTTATCTTGATAAGAATTGGGACCACGGGAGCATGACTGGGTTCAAGTGTTCAACTGCCTGCTTCAATGCTGCATTATTATTTTGTGTTTTGCATTTCTTCATTTTATTTTTACGTTATTTTGTTATTGTTCTTTATTTTGGATTAATTAATTGGAACTCGTTTTAATTCTTTGTATTACTTATTATTATATTGGAATAATTATGATTTTGGATGTATAAAGCTGAAAATTGATTTGTTAATGATGACAAAAAATTTGTCCACATCTTCCCTCCCCCTTAACAAGAGAGATCGAGATACTCATCATCATCGTTATCACCATCTTATAACTGCTATCAATGACCTCGATATTTTTAATCAAAATTTGAATTGTATCTTTAAATATATTTATAGAGAAGTGAATTATCATGATTAGTTAACAAATTATCATAATTACTTTTGTCACGCTTTCCGCCTGTTTAATATTCCTCCAAAAAATATTATGAGTAAATTATTTACAAACTTTTCTTGATATTAATGATATATCGAAATTTATGTAATCTTTTTCGCTTTTCTCTCTACATTTCTTAGCTTGTACGTAAAAAATTAACGTTAGATAGCAATTTAGGACTAAGGCCGGAAAAGAGGCTGCTTGGTCATGCCTTTAACGGCTTAACGTTTGCACATGTGACTATGTGGATAACTATTGTCACGTTACTTGACGACTTTGGATATAATATATAGAGTAATGGGGCAAGCATGGGGAATGGGAATCTAGATAACATGGGATCTTGGAGGGGAACAATATCCATACTAAATTCAGGCAACTCGACAAGAAGAAGAATTATGTATCCTTAAATACCACCTCAGCTTTTTTTTTTAAAAAAAAAAAATAAAATAAAATAATAAGTACTCCGTATAATACATCGACACAGGGTATCCACTATTGAATACAGTGACTAATTTTCTTGATGACACTTTGACCCTGACATGAATACCGAGATATCTACATCTACATCTACAATCTACAAATCTAATAAGAGCGAATAATGTTAGGCCCTTAATTGGAACAAAAAAAAATGTCGGTACTAATTGTTTCTTAAAATGAATGGTTCATATTATTGTGATTTTAGTATCTTTTAATGATTTTCCTTATTTACCCTCTATTATATTATTTTCTTCCATTAAATAACCTTAAATTCCGTTAGTTTAAACTTTAGTAACGGAATATTCCGTTAACTATTTATTATTCTTAACATACTATTTATTGAAACTTAATATTTCAATTATGCTTTTGCATTATTGGAATGATTTAGGCCATTATGGTATTAATATTTTTTGTATTTTTTTTATAATGGTACAATTGTACATTACACTACTAATATTATACTATTATTTTTTTATCGGACAAAATTGTTTTACATCATTGTCAGACCTGCGCGGCCTAACTACAAAGTTGTTGATCATAAATACAATTACACATGGACTCTAAAACGGTAGGATCATTTTTCAAATAATTGACAATGTTAACATCCTACTAGCTCCAATTGAACAAGTTTATACATCAAAATTTTATCAATGCATGAAAACTTCTAAAAAAATTTGTAAGTTAATTTTTACTATATCATTATATTAATATCTATTGTAACCATATATTTTGAATTATTTATTATCATCCTCTATTAACAGCAATTGTAGCAATTGTTATGGACAAACTCATAAAACAATTTGTCTCAAATTAAAAAAAAAATCATTGATTTCATTATTGTTGAAGAAAAGTATGTACGACACTTTATTACTCTTATTAATTAAATAAATTAGTAGCTACAACCAAAAATAATACATATGCATTTAATTAATTTAGAATTAGATGTCTATAATGCTTTATTTAAAAAAAATCATTATAAAAAAATTTAAAAGAAATATAATTTCATTAGTTATATTATCTTTATTTTCTACAATTCAAAGATTCCTTACCTTCAAATTTATTAATTTATTATATTCACTACATTGTTCATTGTCTTCTTTTTTTACATTATCTTGTAATTAAATATCAAAGTTATAATACAAAACATGTTATATATATATATATATATATATATATATATATATATATATATATATATATATATTTGTTTATTTATTTATTTATTTACCAAGTATTTTATACAAATATAATAAATATTAATATTTCGTTCAATACTTTCACATGATAACCTGCGACACACATCTCACAACACATGAAACATGTAGAAAAAAAACTACCACTACTAAATATCAATAGGTGTTTGTACGCTAAAGAATTCATATTACAACTAAAATCTCAGTCATATACACAGCAAGGTAAATCTAAAACTTCCTACACCATAATCTCATTGCATGATGAATCCCTCTATGCTGCTACCAGTAACCTAATTGCACATGAAACACTACCAATAAAAAAAAAAAACAAAAAAGAAAAAGAAAAAAAGAGGACATGTACTGAATATGAAAACAATAACAATGCTACCCAAAAAAGAATTAAGAAGAATTAGAGAAATTTAAACCAAAAGTAGTATTTATTTAGACTATTGCTTTAAAACTAAGTATTTAGACTAGCGTTATTACAAAGTTGCAAACATTTATTTTAGTGACAATTATAATCAATCTCTCATATATTATCTTGCATTTATATACTTTAAATTACCGATTTAAATAAACAAATTCAACATTTATTTACATATGCATGAACATCTCCTATATAATATTGCATTGATATACTTTGGAATACTTATTTAAAAATAATTATTGGGCATTATCTCATTTGCACAAAGTGCGTAAAAAAACTAGTACTTAGAGAATAATCCCTATCAGTTACCTAACATATATAAAATTACTTGAACCATATTAATATATTATTTATTTTGCGAGCTAACACAGTTGGTTGGACCAATCACTTTAAAACAAAAAACCTAATGTATCAAAAGAAAACAAAAAAAAAAAAGAAAAAAGAAAAAAGAATAAGGTTCAAATTGGCCACTGAACGTAACCTGAAAATGCAATTAGACCACTGAACGAAAAAAAAAAAGTGCAATTAGGCCACTGAACACTTCAAAAACGTGCAATTAGGCCACTGAACTCGCCAAACGTATGCAATTTTACTGGATAGCAGGTTACCATCAATTTTAGCAGGTTACCTGCTTACGTGGCAGTTGAGTTGACATTTTAAATAATTTTTAATAATAAATTTTAATAATAAATTTTTAAAAAATTGAAAAAAAATTAAATAAAAAATAAAATAAAATCGTTTTTATTTTTTAATTTTTTTTTATAAAATGTTATTATTAAAATTTATTAAAAATTATTTAAAATTTATTAAAAATGTCAACTCAATTGCCACGTAAGCAGGTAACCTTCTAAAATTAAGGGTAACCTGCTATCAGGTGAAATTGCACATTTTTTGAGTGTTCAGTGGCCTAATTGCACCTTTTTTTTTTCATTCAGTGACCTAATTGCATTTTCAGGTTACGTTCAGTGGCCAATTTGAACCTTATTCCAAAAAAAAAAGAAAACAAAGTTGTTAGTTACTATAAAGCACAGTTGAGATTTAAAGCACGTTTCTAAAGTTGTAGGCTTTTGGAGTTGAAAAGATTTGAATGGACGGACTAAAGCCCACTGCAAATATAGTGTTTGTGAAACTTTTAACCCATTAAATAAGGTGACAAGTCCCAATAGAAAGCAGCCCAATCATTATACTTTGGCAAATTATATCATGCACCACGGTGCATAATCGATTATGCACCACGCATCAAAACGACGTCGTCTTGTTTAATGAAAAGAAACGGCATCCGTTTCGCACTCTTCCGCAAAAAGTAACTCTGTTATTCAGTTTCATTTTGTATACACTACAATTTCAGTTCAACACAACTACAGTTTCATTTTGATATAACTACAGTTTCATTCGATATTTATAGACTCAAATATGTGAAAATGTTATTTAATTTTATTTTATATATATACATTATAGTTCTATTAAAACACAACTACATGATCATTTTGATATAATTACAGCTTCATTGTACAATATACACTCAAATATGTGAAATGTTATTCAGTTTCATTTTATATACACTGCAGTTTCATTTCACCACAACTACAGTATCATTTTGATATAACTGCAGTTTCATTTGATAATATAAAAATAATACGTGAGACATTGTCAGTTTAGATATATTGTAGTGTCAGTTGGTAATTAACATACAAAAAATGCGCGTTCCGTTAACACTAACGGCGCGCCGTTTCTTTAAGTAAAGAAACGGCGTCGTTCGGTCCACGATATAACGACACTTATACTTTGGACACCAATTTATTTTTATTATATTATATATTTATTTTTAAAGTTTATTTTTAGTATATATTAACATAAAAATTGAATCTATAGTACATTAAAATAAATAAATAAATATTTAATATTCTAAAAACAAACCGTTATTAATGACTCACCTTACAATATGGATCATGGTTCACATTATTATCTACCAAATTAACTTCAGTCATCTAATAGGTAAATTATTGTGTAGACCGTGATTCAAAACGATGTCGTTTTGATGTTAAAAAAATTATTTGTTTCGCGCATGTGTTAGAATAAGGAACATTCTCGGATAAGATAATGTATTTTATGAGTTAGAATAATGTACTTTATGTGTTAGAATAATGAGGTAAGATAATGTATTTTATGAGTTAGAATAATGTATTTTATGTGTATAATAATATATTTTATGAGAAGAATAATGTATTTTATGAGTTACAATAATATACTTTATGTATTTTTTTGACCGTGCTCCACGCAATAATGATGGTCATCTATAGTGAAGCCTTTTATCAATGCTTATACCATCGACTAGGATTCACTTAGTGAGGTGAACCCATGATACATATTCATTTTTAATCACACCCGCAGAAACTCCTCAAAAATCTCACACTATTGAGAATGCTCTTTAGCTTCTCAATATTAGTGTTGTTTAAATTTCTGTCTAAAGTAACTCATCCATTGAAAGAATGATTCTATTACAACTTAATGTTAAGAGACAAAATTGCACATACCCTATAACTCAAGACTCAAATTATCATTTTCCCTAACAGACAGAAAAGGTCTTATTTAGCATGAAAATATTACTTATATTTTCTGAACATGAAAGATTTAACATGATGGATTCAAAAGCCACCTTGGTACGAGACCGACAACCTATGTTTAATCACTCTCGTCTTATTAACTATGTTGTTGGGCTGCTTTTCGCCCATGTTCTTGTCTACTAAGATGTACAGAACTTCAAGGCAGTTTATAAACTCCAAGAAAAGGCATCAATACAGATCCAATCCACAACTTCCCCTCATGCTCCTCAACTTCACTTATGAACTTCAAGCTCTTGCCTTCAATGTCCTCCAAAACCTCCACGACTTCCCCATCTTCCCCGAGCTTGATTGCAGATGCATGAGGCTTCCCCACTAGCAAGTGGTGCAGTTGCTTGAAGTTGAACGGGAGCTTTAACAACGTCTTTCCGAGCCACGGATTAGACACGAGCAAGTGAGCGAGAACCCCTTTTTTGGCGTGTAAAGCGACCCAGAATTGCCCTCTCGAGTTCCTCCTAATGTTGTCTGGAAATCCCGGTACAACAGCAAAAGTAGTGTGGTTCCCGGCTTCAGGTCCTTTGAGCCAGTATCTTAACACTCTACCCGTAGAAGTTTCAGCTACAAGTACAAAGGACCCGTCTTTGCTCAACGCTACACCGTTGGCGAAAGCGATGCCTTGAATTAGAACTGTCACTTCTTTCGTTGACCTGTCGTATTTCATCAGTCTGCCTGTCCTGTCTCCACTCACAACCGATGCAATAAATTGCCTGCATTTATGAGATACGAAACCATAAATCCATTGTCAAAGTATTTGCCTCTTCTTCAAGACAGAAAATCACGGTGACTTAGTGGCCCATTAGGTGCGAGGACCAGTGTCCTATGCCTACAACGACCCCACATTGTGTGGTTGCCAGGACTCGATCCTATATCCTTGCTCACAATCTACCACCCAGAAACCAACTGAGTTGCCTGTGTGGCATAAACCAAGTATTTCTTGTTACTTTACAACAAACAACATCAAGCAACATTAATAGATTTAAAATCGTTACGATCTCTTCTTAAGCCACAATGACCTATTATTACTGATCAGCCAAATATGTGCTTGTAAAATGGAAACTATCAGTACCAAATACCATTGGAGTTGCTTCTCGGGAGCATATAATAGAAGCATGTGCTCCATATCTCAACTAAAAGACTAAAAGCCTAAGTTGATAGTTAGATTGCACATTAATGGTTATATGCTCAACAATAAATTAAAATTACCTCCGCTGAAATTTGGTGCTTGTATCCGTGAAATAAATGGCATCTTCATCCTCATCAATGTCCATATCATTGGTAAAGAGGAGAGATTGACCATCAACTTCTTTAACCAGTGGTGTGGAGGATCCTCCAGTCCGCCCCACTACATGTAGGCCCAAGTAGGCATCAGCAACGTACAAATCTCCAGTTTTCTTATCGAATCGCAAGCCCAGTGGCCTTCCACATATGTGCTCCATTTCAGGAGCAAATGGCCGAACACAATCCTTCCTGGATGTTACAATGTAAAATTTTTAGCAGAGTATTGGTGTAGTTATGATTACTGAATGGTGTTCTTGATAAAACTGTCACAATTAAGTCACTTCTTTAATTTTCTTCTAGTTTGTACCAATTTAGGTGCCTATTTTGACTTGCCGCAAGTATTAAGAGAGAATTGGAGCTGTGTTTAATAATGGTATAGCGTTTTGGTTATGAATTTAACATGCCAATCGCCTAATCTGGACAATCAATAGAAGAATTCATTTCATTATTAACCACAGAACTTCAAAGCTCAGTTCTTTGCCAGTTCTCTCTAATAATTTTTCTTCTTTTTACCATATCAGATCTCTGATCTTCCTATAACCCATATTGAAAAGTTGGTTTAACATTCAAAGAATATTCTTGCTACTAAAACGTTTACAATATTTAAGTCTTTCCCAGAATTTGAAACACCATTTCATTTCAAGATTAACCAATAAATCATAAAGATAGTTAAAAGTAGTTACCTTTGAGAGGAGGTGACAGCAAAATCGACCCAACGGCCGCCACTTATTCCATCTGCACCGGGCTCCCACTTGAGAATCCGGCCGTCGGCAACTCCGGTGTAGGGCCCGTCTCCGTTAGGGTCAAAGGCAAGACTTTCCGGTCCAAGGGCGCCGGGGACGGGGAGAATATCGGCGTTGGTGAGGAGGTCTTGGGAGCCCGGGATGGTGGGTGGGGTAAAGAGAAGCTGGGAGTTGAAAGCCAATAAGACTGAGAGCAAAGCCAGTGCGGCGGCGCTCAAGATGAGTGCAGAGGAGGGGTTCATTGCTGTCTGAGATGAGAAGTGAAGCGGACGCGAAAGCGGTGGAAGTTTGCGCGAGTGGTCACCGTCGTTTCCAAGTGCTCGGTGGTCGCTGTCTGGGAATTTCTATGCCGATTTGATGTAGTCAGTGTCTGTCTACACTACATAATAATAATTTGATAAGCGTCAAGTTCAAATTGAATGAATAATATTTTTACTACGCTCCCCTCTCAATTTCTAATTATCCTATTATTTGAGACTTGAACCCATAACTCATTCTTAGAAAAGGCTGAACCCCAACAGTAAGAGCCCCCCACACTCTGGTCCGACAAAGCATTTGTGAGGATGTAAATCATGGTGACTCAACTGAATTGAACTCATAACTCATGATGGAGCAATTTGCTGTCATTGTATCACAAGATTCTTGATATCTCTATTTATATTAAGGATTGCAAAATGTGTTTTAATGTTGCACATAAAATTTTGCATTGGATGTACAAATTACTGGTTCACATAATATATGACAAAATACTACAAATTGATATGGGATAGAAAGTTTTTTGTGATCATTTAAAAAACATTTAGGGTATGTTTGGTTTTCACATGGAATTGGAATCGAAATTATATACTTATAATATTAATGAGTTTTGGTGAAAGTATTTTTCATATTTGGTAGTATGGTGAAATTGGAATGATTATCAATAATATTGATGTTTGGTTATGTATAACCCTATAATATGAATAAACGTTTTAAAAATACAAAAATAAAAAATCAAGGCAATTGATCCTAATATACTGACATTTGAAGCACCAATATGAACAAAAAAAAAATATCTAAAAGCACTAATCCAAACTTAAAATCAGATTTCTAATAAGATGGAATGATACATATTTTTAATTAGGGAATGAAGTTTTTCATTGAAGATGTAATCAAATATCATAGTTGTATTTTAAAAAATTGTCAACCAAACACTAACTATATAAATTTTGATTCTCATTTTTGGTGTGTAAGCCATGAACCAAACACACCCTTAGTCTTTTATTTTTTAGTCAAAAGGATGGGAAAATTCAAAAGAACAATGAGGCTATTCATGCTAATAAAAAAACCTCAAGATTCCCACAATAAAATATTTTTAAAATCAGCCGAAATCGAACTAACACACCAGCCTCAATCACGTTTGCAAACTTTTCATTCGAATTTGACATTGAACGGTATCAAAAAGTCTCATGTAGCTATGTTGATAAGTAATTGCATCCATAGTTTTTCGAATCTCAATTTTAATCAAAAAAAAAAAAATTGTTAAAAGTGACTTTACCAACCAACATCCAACGGTCGAAATCCCCTAAAATTCCAGCTGTGAGAACCTAGTCACATGAATCCAATTCAGGTGTGTTTGGTAGAAATAATGGTGACCAATTAACAGGACTTCAAATTATGCAATAATCTGGGATGGTACAAATGCATGGTTGATCCCCCAACCCCCAACAGGTCCTCTGAAGGGCACAAGCAAGCTGGCTCTAATGGTACTATACATCACAAATGCATGGGACAGTGTCCTATGTTCCCAGCTAAATCCTACCAGTATCCAACTATCCATCAATAAATTAATTAAAACACATTAAAATGGACTTTATTGCATGCTTATTGCTTTGCAATTATGGAGTAATAAAAACCCAACACCCAAACATGGTACATTCAAATATTTATCGATCTCCTTTGATCTTTTGCTGAATATGGTTAATTATAAGACGGACTTTACTCAGAACTTACATTTAGATAGCAGTTACCGAGCTTTCCAGTAAAATATTTTTCATGCATTTCAATAAATATTGAATAATGGACATTGTATATAGTAGACAGGGGCAGAACACAAGAATTTGACAGGGAATTGAAGAATGCTTTAATTTGGTTGGTGGATACATATGAACAGCCCCAACCCTACAAGGCCAGTGGGAATCCCAATCCCATGTTCTTTTTTGTACACAAAAGCATAACTGTGCTGACCCCATCAATAATCATTTGGCATTACAACTCCAAACACAGGAAAGTGAAGATGGAATGGAAGAAATGAAGATAATAGTCATAGGTGAAAGATTGTAGATAGAATATATATGGCCCAAAAAATATGACTTAGATTTTTAGATAAACATCAAGTTTGTGCTTAATGTGATGGGAGTAGAACTGATTAATTACTTTTTACCAAAAAAAAAAAAAAAAAGAAGAAGAACTTATTAATTACTCGTTATAATTAAAAATTTAAACAATTTATTGTCCAAATCATATTTTTAAAATGGTAAACAAACTCACGATAAAAAGTAGAAACTAAGTACTATAATTTGGATACCGAACTCTGGTACTATATATATTAAAGAGTATAAAATCAAGTTATAGAATAATTTACGGACATTTTGTTTCTTGAAACAATCTCAATGAAACAAAGTAGTTATGCTCTTTGTATAGATATTAATGTTTCTTGCATATTTACACACTGTCTTTGATTGTTAGAATATATTTAATTTAATATTAAAAAAGTCTATTGTAGTAAATGAATAAAAATTAGATAAGATTCTGCTAGGACAACATACATCAATCTTTCACTAAAAAATTAGACACTCAAATTTTAAAAAATAAGTCAATTATTCAAAAACTAATCAAATAGATGAAAATTCTCAAATTTAAATATTATTTTACAATTTTTTACCAAAAGATATTTGATTATTGTATGTATTTTACATCGGTAGAGCGGAAAGTGAGAGGAGAAAGAATACAATATATATTCAATGTTTGGTGGAATAGGAAAATGAATTGGGTAAAAGGGTGGAGTACTAAATATTTTTTTATGTTCTTAATTATTATTTTAATGAAGTTGGTCAATAACCACTAGTCAAATGAAAGGAGCAATGGGAGTAATAATCATTGTTTTAGGTGATGGATTGTTGCCTTGTTGTCCCATTTCAAGGATTTGGCATGTCACCGAATACAATAGTACTAACATGTTAATTATCAATGTGGACTTGTTGCTCACAATTAATCAAATCTATACTCTTTTGTGATTGTGAAACCTACAAATCCCACCCACCTAAGTTAATACTCATTAGCTTTTTTTGGCTAATCATGGGTATCTACATCTAGACTCTAGAGCAAGTAGACCATATAATATTACTATTGTATCAAATCTTATATTATATTTATTTAATTCATGTAAGGTTGGATTAAATACATATTATTTTTTGGGTGAGTTTCTTATGAGAGTGTGGAATAGTCATATACATATTTTTATTTGTAAGGCGGGTCGGATAAAGATAAAAATACAATAGTTATGCTGGAAAATATAATACTGATTGATAGGGTTATACTGAACTCGTACTATGCATTTATACTTATGTTTGATATCAGTACAAGGGACCGAGAGGTCCACTACCCGATCATATATGATCTTGTGTTTTACCCGATCCGGACCTACTCGGGGAGATGGCCCCCTTTGGTCAGTAGGGTAGGCATGCTTTGCACTTGGGATGAAATTCCCGATCACATTGAGAAAATTGTCCCGAGCACCGAACCCAATTATTAAGGCCAAAGCATAACCCGATTGCATAGTATGATCCCATCACCTTTACGCAAATGTCAGAAATCTCGAAACACGTGAAATCGTTAGGACCGCCCTTGTCATAACCGATGCATGGAAACCACATAACTAGCATGTCGAACGCTCGCCATGTGTCCCCTTCCAAGTTTCTATATAAATCGCATTAAATGCCTGAATAAGGGACTTTTGGACCTGGAACTACACACTACTTAAGCTCAGAAACGTTTGACCTCACATTTAGCTACCCGATATATCACTTTGTGACCGAATATAATAGACTGTTGTATTTATCCCATCACTAATCATGAATAAATTGTTTGTTACTTATAAGAAATACTGTAATATTTTAAAAGAAATATGTAATACTTTTAAATCAAAATGTAATATTTATGGGTTGAAAAGTTACTAAGGAAAAATGTAATACTAATTAGAAATAAATTGACCGACTGAGAAAATGTATGGAGTAATATTTATGAGAAAAACAATGTGATACTCTTGATGAAAAGGTAATACTTTTAACGCAAAATGTAATATTAAGAGTTGAAGAGTTATTTATGAAGAAAATTACAATACTTATTATGATGGAAAATGTAATACTTATAAAAAATTTGATGTGTCCATGGGTCCTCTCAAAGAAAATTTTGTCTTCTTTTTTAATTAGTCAAATATTTTGCAGGTCCATTTGTTTTTGTATTAAATTTTTAAGATATTTGATGCCGTTAAATCAACTATATATGTTAATTTTTATATTATCGTAATGTATTAATCTGATAAAAATCACGTTATAGATAGAAAATTTGAGACAAAAGATTTGTTTTGAATTATTATTGGGGAAGAATTGTGAAAAATAACATTGAGAAGAATGATGATGAAAGTGCAGAATGTGAAGATAGAAGATAGAAGATGCATGAATTGAATGAAGAAAACATGAGGACAGGCACACAGACAAGAAATGGGGCACACAATTGAGTGGCCATGGGAAGCAAATCTTGAGAGGGAATCAAATGAAATTGGCCTCTCCTCTCGTTCCACCACCCCCCACTTGTCCATCATAGGGTAAACGCACATAATTTCTCATTGTTGATGAGCATATAATCATTAATGTGCAATTTAATTATCAACTTAGACTTTTAGTTGATATGGAACACATACTTCAATTTGATATCAGAACCATGCCAAAGGTCACCTTATAAAAAAAAAAAAAAGATTACGTGTTGCTTCGTGTGAGCATATACCATTAATGTGCAATCTAACTATCAAAAGATATTGTCATCACAGTCTTTTGATATATATATATATGTATATCATTTCAAACATTTCAAAATTATGATGGAGTGAAAATCACAAAGTTATTCACTTTTATAGACAAATTAGTAAAAATACATAACTTTTCTTTTTCTAGTATTAAATAAAAAAAAAACACAAATATAAGCTAAATTAAAGTAAGACAAATAAATACAAGACAAATTTTACTTTAAAAGTATCTTAGCGATAATTAACTTGTTTGTAAATGAGATAAGGTAAACAAATAATATAAATCTATGATACTTAAAACTTTCTTATCCTACAAAATACAAAAATAATATAATCTAATATAGGTGGAGTGGGATACTACAAAATACAAATTCTTTTTTCCTCTTATATCAAATAGGAACCTAACTACCAAATAATTAATATTCAATACAACACTTTGTTGAAAAAGAAAAGAAAAGAAAAAAGAACAGCACCGTGTGCCTTTCTAAATATGCAATCTTTTTGGTTAGTTGTTCACTGTCTTTCTTGCCTAATTGCCTTTCCCATTTGCTTGTCTTGCAATTCAAAATCCGTTTGAAAATCTGAGAAGATCTTTGGATGAGATGTGGATAGATCTTACTTTGGGGGTTGTGGAATTTGGTGGGTCTTGGAACAATATACAAATCTGAGGGCTCCTCTTCTCTCTTTCTCATCTCACTTCACCTCACCACTCCAAAGAACACAACTTTTCATCATTTCTTTTCACCCTTGTTTCTTGGCTGTTGATATTGGTGTTGGGAATTTGAAGAACTTATGAATATGGGCATGGCAGCAGTAGAGCCACAGTTCCATGTTCTAGCTGTTGATGACAGCCTCATAGATAGAAAGCTCATTGAGAGACTTTTCAAGACCTCTTCTTGTCAAGGTATTTCATATATTAAACACAATGATGGGACAAAGGGATTTGTGTCCTAATATCACTTGAACTTGTTGAAGATGGATTTTCTTGATTACAGAGTGTACTGATTCTGGGTTTTTTCTGGATTTTTTTTTTTGGGTGTTCATTGTAGTAACTACAGTGGATTCTGGTAGCAAGGCCTTACAATTTCTGGGATTGAATGAAGATGACCAGAAAAATCCAATTCAACCTTCTGTTTCCCCCAACAACCATCAGGTCACTTTTCTTTTCTGGGTTTTTTTTTCTTTGCCTTGATTTCAGGGATTGAAGATTCTTTCTTCTTTGATTGCTATCTGCAATATGTCTGAAAATTTTGTTTGTTGTTTCTGGTATTTTCAGGAAGTGCAAGTGAATCTTGTAATTACAGACTATTGCATGCCTGGGATGACAGGCTATGATTTGCTCAAGAAAATTAAGGTATGCTTTGGTTTTCTGCCCTTACTTTTACTTCACATCATCACTCTATATTTTCTTGAAAGTAAATACTCCATCAACCCCCCACCCCCCAAAAAAAGCTTTCAATTTTACCCACATCCACATATACTGCATAATTGTGATGCTGAAATGGCATTTGCTATTATTTCCCTTACAACTCTGAAATTGTCTTTGTTCAATATTTTCTTTAGTGATCTTCCCCAATTGTTAGGTGCTCTAGAAACTATGTCTTGTTTGGTACAAGGTTTGGTAGAAATGGTTTTGGCAAATGAAACATGCCTCTTCTTTTTCTCTCCCACAGGAATCTTCATCTCTGAGAAACATCCCTGTGGTCATTATGTCATCTGAGAATGTTCCTTCAAGAATCAGCAGGTAAGAGCTTCTTCAGAAGAATCTGAAATTCTCCTTTTTCTTGGAGATAGCATTAAAGGGTACTTATGAAACCTAAACAGATGCTTAGAAGAAGGGGCAGAAGATTTTTTCCTCAAGCCAGTGAGGCTATCAGATGTGAATAAGCTGAGACCCCATATGGTGAAAAACAAGAAGGCAGGAGAACAAGAAAATCAAGAATCATCATTTTCATCATCAGAGGAGTCATCTGCAGAATCTGGTATGACAGATGTTCAAGAACAGGCCGAATCGAACGATAATAGTTGTAACAAGAGGAAGAAGGGCTTGGATGAAGGCTTTACACCCAAGAGAACAAGACCAAGATGCAATGGCCTCACTGCTTTCTCTGATCTATGATATCCTGTTCTGTTTTGATATAATTTTTTGTTTTAGTTATTACATATATGCAGTTGGATAATACATGAGATATGTAGAGAGCTATTAGCTATAGAGAGTTTGGGCACTAACTATATATATGATAATATGATGAGAGATCAGTACACAACTTTATGGAAGAATTTGCTCTTTTTTGTTACCCTACCTATTTCATAAGATGAATGTGATTGTTGTAATGCCTCTTTAGGCTAAGATTTTACCTAGAAGAATTTATCCATTTTTTCCTTGCCATTTAATTTTATTAATAAGTTGAGGTTTATTTGCTAGACTAGATTCTATCCTTTTTCATAGATTATATGAATCACATTATTTATTCATAGTTTAGTTTGACTATAATGAAAATGAGATTTTAGAGAATGTAATAGTTTAATAATCATTCACCATAATGTAGAGTTTAGCATGTTGTCTATCCACTAGGTGATCAACTGATCATATTGAGATCAAAATCTCTTTTTGCCTTGCCATCTCCTGTTTGCACACCTCCAACAATTGGCCACTAGCCCCTAAGTTACAAGTTATAACATCCCTTCAACTATTTACAAAACAAGTTTAAAGCTAAGTGAGTATCGATCAAAATTCTGTATAATCTTTTATCCCAAGTGAGTCTAAGGCAAGGATAATAGCTCAACTATCCACTTCCACAACACCATTGGAGTCAATATTGATGCGTAATTTGATAATTTTTATCTAAATTATTTTATTTAGAGAAAAAATATTGCAAAATGTATACTCAATTATTTGAAAGAATATCTTTTTATTCATAGGAGGGAAAAAATTACAAGCATACAACATGTAAACACAAGCAAATGGTTATATTAAATATTGCTAAGACCTTATTGGAGCATACTACATTGTAATAAGAATCAAAATTCACGTATTTCTCTTACCTTTTTTTTAGGCCTATAACGGGAACTAAAAAATGTCCCTCCTGCATTTTGTCAATGTAAACTTTAGTTATAGAATATAGTTAAACAGAATATTCCATTACTAAAGTTTACACTGACAGAGTGCAGCCATGCAGGGTATTTAGAAAAAGTAAATAATGTAATAGAAAGTAAAGTAGGAAAATAAAATAAAATTACTAAAATTAAAATAATCTGAACCATTCATTTTCATCAAATAATTTGCCGGACATTTTTTAATTTCCGTTATAGGCCTAACTTTATTGTCTCTTATTAGTATAGGTGATACTAGAAGTAGATTATGTTTAAGTAATTTAAATATTATTTTTTTTAAAAAAAAGATAATAAGTTGGTGGGTACTCATAGTGGACACCTGCATATGGTGGAATGAGGGTGAGTTTTGAAAAAGTTCCCTCATGCGGATTGGTAGTAGGGGTGTGTTGAGAAAATATAAGGTGGGTCGGGTTATAGGTGTAGCCCTCCTCGACCCACACTTGATCCATTGTCATTTTTACAAGTATGGATAAGAAATTTATCTTGTGAGTTCAGAAAAAATTGTCTACATCCAAAATTTGTGAGAATGAGTAAAAATTAGTTGTAAAATTTGAGTATAAATGTAGTATTTTCTTTCCTGAAATTAACTCTAAATTATATTATTATGACGTCAGTAAATTAAGTAGCCACGTGCAACAAAATAACGCAAACGCTTGTCAGTTCTAATTAACGTGACAAATTGAAATTTGGGTACTTCGAGATTAAATGGATATATGGAGTAAAATATTTAATGCAAATATTTATATATATTTTTTCCTTAAAAAAATATTGTACGCATTCGAACAATAACCAAATTGATTGACCTGTAAAGAATCTGGTATCCTGTCCTGATCTCTCTCCTTTTAGGGAAAAGCCGAGCGGAGCGTCGGACGGTGGCCACCGGTGACTTCACCGATTGATTTCGGGAACTTCAAAGCTAGGTGCTCCGCTAACTGATTTTGCCTCCGGTACACCTCCATAACATCTTTTCTTACTTCTTTTGTTTCTGTTTCTTTTGAATCATGATTGGAAATTACTTCTGAGCTGAAATAATGCTATATGTGCTTTCTTAGACGTGTGTGTGGATTTATGTATATACATGATGCTGCATATGTGTTTTCAGTATGAGGATCAGAAGGAAAAGGAGGCAAGGAGCTGGTTAATGTAATGATGTTTTTAGGAATTAGGATCATTGTATTTGAAGGGCTACGAGTGTGTTTTAAATTCGTATCTGAAGTTGTTTTTCAGGACTTGTAAATAATGGAGCTCTGCTTCATCTAATTCCTATAATTCGTGTTCACTAGCTTTTAATCTTTTATGTTATAAAGTTGGATATGAGGTGTAACAGTGTCTTTAGGTTTCATTCAAGTGATTCATGGCCAACATCACCTGGAAGATGACTTATTGCCTAGTTATTGTGTCCTGACTACGAATTATTCCCCTGCCTGTGTGTATGTGCTTGTTGCATTGGGCAAAAATTTAGGGGTGTTCATTTGATGAAAAATTTTCCATTTTTCAACAAAGTTGGAGAACTCCTCAATTGTGTTTTCCATTTGGAAAACATGGGTGAATACTGAACAGTGCTATATATGCATACCTCCTTTGTTGGCCAAGATGATCTTAATTGTGTCACTGCTTGTTTCATTTCCTAATTCCTCTCTTTGATGAGAACCAAGCCCTTGATTCTCATCTCTCTTCCTTTGCCGTCACACTCCACAGAGGTCGAGTGATAATTTCTTTGATAGCCTCCACAATGATTTCAGCCTAGACTAGACCTCTGCGAAAATTTCTCCTATAGCGTATGCAGGGGAGTGATGGGGCTTTGTGATGGTCTTCTCCAATTGATTACACCGGGGAGCGGCGGAGCTTTGCGCTGGTTTCTATTGAATCTCCAATCTTTGCGGTGCGACTGTGTCTTCATTAGGGAAGAAGTGAAATAGGGAATGATCTAGAAGTGGATTGATGAGTATTGAGTAGTGATGATAATGGGGCTAAAAGGAGCAGCCCCATTTGGAGGATGAAAAATGGAAAAAAGTTAGAAAATGAAGAATGGAAATGGAATTTTTTCCCATACTAAACAGCCCAACTTTTCTTTTCATTAGTCCAATTTCTATTCTTTGATGCTATTTCCACTATGCATTGAAGAGAATGTAAGGTGACATATAACATATTTTATGTTAGAAGTTTGCATGGATATAATGTGAGGCAGCAGATTCCTTTTGTTTTTAAAATGAGTACTTATTTACTTTTGACATTCTTTGTTGTCATACAAGAGCGTGCATGATGTGTCATCAGTTACAGTTACACATGGATTGTGTAACATGCTCTTTGAGAATATTTTACGTGATTCTTTGTTTAATTTTCTCATTTGATGGAAATTGGTCATAGTTACTCTTAACTCCAAAATAAAGAGAGATACATATTTTATCTTCCAAATTCTTCAGGATTAGAAAGGATCAAGCAAGAGTTTCAATCTGCTAGCATGAGTAATTTCATGGTACTTTATACCTGTGTTGGGACAATGGATTCATGCATGATTGCAAGAACTAAATTATAGTAGAGTTGATGAGTGCTACTAGGACATTGGTCACAATGGGAAGCATATTAATCAATACATTCTAAGTAATTTGGGTGAAAGGCATGAGAATCCAATTCCTCAAGATCATTGATTATTTAGGAAATTGTTATAGCCATTTTTTTTTTGCCGATTAAAATTAGTGGAATACATTCATTTCTTGATCTTCTTGAAGCATTATTATCTTTTATTAGCAAGTAGTTTCATTTTGACGAGGGGGTAACTCAAGTTCAAATTTATCATATTTTCAGTGAGCATCACCTAGAATAGTCTTTAATTGTCATATTTATCAATTGGTTACGGTAGTGATATATTTGGCATCTTTACTGACTGCATCCTTATGCAGTTTGTTCTGTACTAAGCTTGTTATGTTGTTCTATTTTAAAGTGAAAAATATCTGATGCAGTGGCAGCATATAGGTGTTATACACCAGTAATAAACTAGAGTCTATCATATTATTGAGAAGAAAAGTCAATATTGATCAACCCTTTTTTTTTTTTTTTGCAAAAAATAGTAATCTCTCTAAATTATTATAATTATTTAATTAAAGAATAATATTTTTTTATTCTGAAAGAATACTAACCCTTTCATTAGTGGCATTCTTTGTGAGACAAGGCATTTTAGAAAATCTTTGCATGCATGGTGGATAATTTTGTTTCTGTCCTGTGAATTAAACAGAGAAACTTGAAGCCCCTATATACTAATGAAGTGATGATGCATGGAACATTTTTTTCAATTTATATTATTAACATTATCTTGTTTGCAATGGGAAGGCATAAAAGAATAAGTGATTTTTTTTTTTTTTTTTTTGGGAGCTTGGAATTGTAATAATCACCTTGGTCCAATGATAGGAATTTGTCCATGTCCATTAGTTAGCAAAAAGCTGAAACTAGCCTTTCTGCCATGCTAGGCTAAGCCTGTGCTCATTGTAATACTTTTCATTATTGAATTAGCATGACTACCAAATACATTGGATGTTATATCTGAGTTTGAAAAATGAAAATAGTATGGAGTATAAGATTATCACAAAGTAAAAGAGATTTTAGGCAGTAATGTTATTAAATTATTGCGGTTAGATGCTTGTTACCTACTATTCAAACCATAATATGCTTTTGTCCGGTTACATGCATACAGCCACCAACCCAATCACCCTATCTATTTAAATCCTCCATGGCATCCTCTCTGGCAAAGTCATATAATAATACTATATATAATTTACTTGCACATGACAGGTTTATGTATGTAAAGATTTTACCAATTCCTGTTGGCACAAAGGTGGAATAAAACGTACAATCTGCAAAGTGGTTTTGAATTTCTAACATAAAGTTCTGATTGAAGTCTTGGAAAATGTCTACGGGGGAGGTGAAGAAAGTCTCACGTGAAGATATTCAACTGGTAAGCCTTTTCCCCTATAATTAGATCAAATATGGATTAACATTCTGGCTGTATTTGGAATGTTGACATGGGCCAAACAAAATTTCACCACTTAACTACTTTTTCATGTGGATGCAACACCTTTTCTGTAATCACTCTCACTAAATCACCATTTTACTAAAGCTACTTTGATTTCAGGTGCAAAATCTTATAGAGCGATGCCTACAACTATACATGAACCAGGAAGAAGTTGTGAGTACACTCCTACATCAAGCCAAAATTGAGCCAGGATTTACTGAACTTGGTAATGGCTCTTTTCTCATTGCAACTTGGATCTCTCTGCTGTAATACTAATGAAGCTGTTGCATATAGATACAACTGTTTAGTGATATCTATTGTACTCATTTTCGTTGGAAGAATATAAATATGACATCTAGATTATTTTCAGTGTGGCAAAAGCTTGAAGAAGAAAATCAGGAATTCTTCAGGGCTTACCATTTGAGGTTGATAGTGAAGGATCAAATAAGTAGATTCAATGAGTTGCTTGAGAGACATGCTAAGCTAATACATCAGATTTGTCCAGCTGGAGTGAATCCTATTCCCTTGGCTAATGGTGGATCTCAAATGCCCCCATGTAAGGAGCCTCTTTTGAGTTTTATATTTTGTTTCCATAGAGATAATCTTATCATTCTTATGTATTCTCCTCTCTCTCTAGTTTATTTTTCAATAACTCTCATTTTCACATTGACAGTGCATGAGAACTCTACCTGCACAACCGAAAAGACTGGACCAGTTGTGAAGACTGAAACCATGCATCGAAATATAGACCGCAGTTTACTTGATGCATACTCGAATGGTGCATCCTCACTACAGACATGTATGCAAAGTGCTTTTGATATGTCTACTCATACACGGAGGATTAATGTCTCACCAAGCATACTATTGGCTCAGAATGCAAATGTGGGGTTGATGCAAGGACTGAATGGTGGAATGATCAAATCAGAAGCTGGTTATCCTAGCAATTCTCATTTCTTGTTTGGCGGTGACAATAATGTTCTGGAAACTCGTCCTGCTATTACAGATGCATCTATTTCATCCTACAGTAGTGTCGAGTCCAATTCACAACACCTGAACGAGACTGTCTTGGATGCTGATTCATCATCATTTGGATTCTTGGGGCAGATACCCCGGAACTTCAGTTTGTCAGATTTGACGGCAGACTTTGCTAACAGTTCAGGTCTGCTCTGTCTCTCACTCACACATGCACACACTTGTAAACACCAGCATGATACCTACAACTTCATATTGCACTTTGCTGCTGATATTTATCCTGGAATTTATGTCCATTATAGATATTTTAGGGACCTATTCAAGATCACCCTTCCTAGCATCAGATACAGATAGCTTCCTGGATCCTCTTGGTACAAGAGAACACCGAGGTTAGTACACTGACAATTGATGTTAGTTTTCTTTGTAGTAGAACTAATGTTGATGCAAGTAGTCAGATACTAAGAGGTTGGATAAAATATCTGAAGGTTTGATTAATCATATGATTTTGCCATTTGATTGATTCTGTTGCAGTTTTAACATTTAACCTGACTAGTTGATGTTACGACATTAAAATACATGTCACAGGGTTATTGTTCAAGGCATATATATACATATGGTTTACATGTTTTGATGCCTACCTGACATTTCTTTCTTGTGTTGTGGCTATCAACATGGCAGGTGCATTTGCTCCATAGATATAGGGTTTTGTAAACAAGGGTTGAGACATGAAGAATCTTCTGAATTTGAAGACTGTTTTTGAAGTTACTTATTTGTCTGTTGTCTTGGATAATAATCAAAGTTATGATGGTGCAAAAAGATGAAAAATATTTAGGCAAAAAACAATTTCGCAAAATGTGCATATGTTGCAGCAGTTGTTTTGTGCAAAATATAGGATCATTATAGGAAAACATCAGTATATTGTGACAATGTTGTTACAGGTACCTATCAATGTCTTCTGATTGTGATAGTTAAATAGTTTATGAAACATGTATCTTTGCACACAATTTTAATAGTGGTGAATATTTCATAAACAAATTGTGACAGTTTATTGCAATTCTACATTGTCAATGCAATGCATTTGGTAATTCAGCAAAGATACAATGCATCTCATCAGTAGAGGAAACCAAAACACATTTTACTTAAATGCAGAATTTTCCTACAAAATCGCAATAAAACTTTCTAACTATGAAGTTAAAGAGACACCCTAAGGTATGTTAAGATTGAGAAAAATATAGTTGAGAACATAGAGAATAAGGATGGATATTGAAATGCCTAACTTGAAGCAGATGTTTAGGATGTGAAAGACAAGATTCTCAGTGGCCTTTGGATGCATATACAGCAACAGATGACTGAAGCTCTCGATCCACCTTGAAGTGAGCATGAAAGAACCTTTTTACCTGAAGAAGGTAGTAGCAGTCTTTCATCAGCAAGAAATATATTAGTTAAATCAAGAAAATAACGGACGAAATATTTTTAAATCACCTCCATGAAATTGTGCGAAACCAGAAAGTCTTTCAATAGTTTTTCCTGTGCGTCGAACATCACAATGTGGCTAGGTAAAGACCAATTTTTTGCAAATTCAGTCGCAAAACCAACTGGGTCCAACATGAACCGGTCAGACTCGTCTAGCATTCCTTTCTCTTCACTGTTGAAATAATTGCCAAGAGAAAAAGGTTCATGTTCTCTATTATATAAACATAACAAGACAACAAATGGTTAGAATCTTTGAAACAAGTGGGCAGTCCACACCTTGGTGTACAATCCAAGAAACGCATAGGAAGGTTACGGTGAAGAGTGGAGTAGTAAGGTGTGGCATGGCAGGGTGTCAAGAAAAGGATATTTCTTACATTTCCATCAACTGCTTCCACGGAAAGATAGTTCATCACATCCTCGGTTCCTCTCTATGAAGCATATTGCAAGTAATATAAAACAGTTTATCTTGTACAAAATTTTTCTCCTATTTCCTGGAAAAATCTAGTCTCCAATGCAATAATAATATGCAGAAGCAGATACCTGATGGACCATACTCATATACAAAGCCATTGGAAGATTTGTGATGAGTAGGAAGACTATGGCAAGATGCTTTCGAGATAAGCACGAGTAACTAGTCCTTGAAAATCTTTGATCATGGTCATTTGATTTACTGGCCACTCCTATTCTTGCTAGTGAGTACCCGGAGAACTTTAAAGCTATAGGAAGTATGGGGAGGACAAACCTGTTACTCAAGACTGATTAGAGAACAGCATATATCATTGAACATTGGAACAGATATAAATATATAATCATCAATTAAAACAGAATAATAAACTTTTAAACGGAGTACCTGAACTCTTTGTGGCCTAACAAGCTATAAATCCCCAAAACCCATGCAATAAGACCAGAAAGTTTCCATTGCTTAGACATGGCAATGCCTGCTAAAGAAAATGGTATAAATGTGAAGAGCATCACTGTAAATCCCTGACTTAGGTACCAGTGCCATACGTGAGTTCCATAATAGTCACCACCAGAAGAGAGAAAGTTGAACTTCAGAAAATTAAGAGGCACAAAGACCCAAGTGCCATACATCCACCGATCCAACACAAGTGTGACTCCAAGTACCAATGTCCTGATTCCATGTGTTTAGAGTAGGTAAGTAAGTCTACTTCAAAGCATAAGATGCCTGATTACTGCAAATAGGAAATGTACATACAAATAATGAAAGCCTAATTATTGTTTGAGTAAACAAGAAATGCATTTATGATAACCAAACTTCATTTCAATAGTTTTAAACTCGAAAGTGCATATCAAGAATCTGATTTATAGCTGGGGAAGCAAGAGATTCTCTTAGCATGCATCCTAGACTCCTAGTACCTTATTCTAAACACTCAGCAATAGTCAATGATTAAATCAGCCCTGTTTATTCTAGTCTAATTAAAAGGGATTCAGATTAGAAAAGCATTATTTGGTATATTGGTTCATTCATTTGTCTCTAAGTTTGCATGTTTACTCATTATTTGAAGTAAAAAATTGTATGTCATATTTATGGAAAAAAAAAAAGGTCAAATCATACTTACCCAATAGGAATCACCTCAAGAAGAATGAAAACAATTTTTTCATCAGTAAGGTACAACTCCAGAAGACCAACATACAGCCATGTAATGGCACTTGTTGGCCGTATGGCACACGCCAATGCAGCTACAACCAAAGCCCACTTTCTTGAACCCAAGGAAGTTGTTTTGGAAGATTTTCTAATGCAAGGCCAGTAGTAGAGGCTCACGAGTGTAAGAACTGTCTCCAAACTATTAGACAAAGTGCGAGTGAGCGAGAAAAACATGAACCAATTGGTCAATTGTGCAAAGAGCTGCATTGAGTTAAGTACTTTGTGATCGTTATCATCAGGAGCAACAAATATAATGGTACAAATACTTGGAGATTTCCAAATAAATAAAAGCAGTATATTAATAAAAATGCAGGAAACAGATAACAAGTTAGAATGCAACTTATAATATAAATTAGAGAAGGATACCGCCAATTTTGCAACATGGTCATCAAATAACACTCGAGAGAGCTTATACATGTAAAGATCACCTACAGCAGAGAAAAGAGACTGCAGAAGTCGAGGTGCCCTTATCTGTGGCAGTAGGTAAATTTAATATCAATGTAAAAGGTGTAAGCATTCATTCAACTAAACAATGTAAAGTAGGCATGTGCAGAAACTATTGACCAAGTATTCATAAAAAAGCAGCATGCAAACTTGAAGAGGAACTCTTCAAAGCTGATGTGTGTGTTTGTCGATAGGGATCATTGATGTCATGAGTGAGGAATATGCAAGAGCAATAAACCAAGTGGTCATAAAGAAGCATCATGCAATCACGAAGTAGTATTCTTCTAAACTAATGTGGTTGTGTTTAAAAAGACTTTCAATGACATGAACAAGGTCTATGCAAAATCTATTAAAAAAAAGTAGCCATAAATTTATAAATAAATAAACAAGCAAAATTGAAGCAAAATTCTCCGAAACTAATGTAATTCTGTCTACCACCTGTTGTTGTCAATATGAAACACATTTAAATGGCATGGATAGAACCCATGCAGAACACAGGAAAGTTCAGAGGAATGTCAAAAAATTGTCACAATGAAGACAACGCTAACAAATCCTTGATCAAGAAGAGCAATAATTACCATGAACCAAGGGCTATCAAGCTTTAAAAACGTAAGAATTTTATAAAGAAGAGCAAAAATTGATGGATGCAAGTAACTCCTTATGCCTTTTTTCCATTCCCATGTCAAATGCCCATATCTGCAAGAAATCAAATAAGCAAACAAATATCATTCAAGTTTAGTCCAAGCATTTCATACTAAAAACTAGTTATAAAACATAAACTTATGTAGAAAAGAAGCAAAAGAAGTTTGTTAAAACACAGTAATGATGTATAATCCCAGAAACAGAAAGAAGAAGAAATTACCCAAATGTGATATGATGAGCAACTTCAAGGGCTTGCCAATGTTCATCCGGATTGAAATAAGTCTGTACCAGGAGAGAATTTATAATCCGTGCAACCAAACATATAATAAACACTTCTCTTGAAGAAGTGAGTAAAGCTTGGATTTTTGAATCCCTTTTAGGATTGGGTTTTTGAGCTGTGTTACTCTCTAGTGGAATAGTAGGTGGATGCTTTCTTTGTCTCATGGTGAGATGAGATTCGGGTCTTTCTTTTCAGAGAAAAATCAAAATGCCCGGCAGTGAAGATGAAGATGACGGTTGGGGATGATCTTGCCAAATATAGAAGAAAGGAGAATTTTAACGTTGTATAGAGCCAAATCCGAACAAAGTCTCAGCTCCGGCGACGAATATGAGGGAGGAGTCGTTGGAGTGAATAGGGCAGGGCAGTGGATGTTGACCGATTTCAACCTGGTTGGCCGTTAAATCAGATGACTGGGCAGTAATGTCAGCATTGCCACGTCACCATGTATTCTTGAAACCTCTTTGGAACTTCAAGTTTAGATCTGGGACAACAAATTCGTAGAGAAAAAAATTAGGGAAAATGGTGGACACGAACCTGAAAGCAGAGACTTCTAAGTCCTCAGTGTCAGTGGTATTTTATCAAACAGGCTGTGGGCGTTAAAAGGAATTGTCTTCAACTGGCGTACACAAACTGCAGCATATAGTGAGGACTGAGGAGAGGAGAGTGGTGTTGTTGTTAGAGCACTACCAAACCTTTCACTCCCTCTTTTCCATAACTTCAAATTTCTTTCCCTTCTAAATTATCGGACATAGAAAGTTCCGTCTTCCATGGCTCTCTTCAGGTCTGAGATAGTATTTTTTTTCGAATTAAATATAATTTTAAAAAAAAATACTAAGCAATTGCTACAAATCATTGTAGGGGTAAGGGGGAAGCTTGTGTCAATTATCTCCCTACAAAAGATATGCTTCGCTCAGAGAAAGTAAGTTATAACGATTGTTGTCCATCATTTATTTGTCGAATGCACTTTAGCAAATGAATGCTATGGAAGATTGGTTCTGCTCATTTCAACCAGAATTATTCCAAACTTAACAATGTGTCAATTAATAATGATGTGTTGTTGGGAAATATGGAAGCGGAGAAACGAGAAGGTGTGATACAATTAGAATGCTCAAATGGCTTATTCAACTATAACCAAAGATCAAAATTATATGGGAGACTAGATAGAATCAACTAAATCCACCAATTCTAGTTTGTCTATGTTCAATCATGCTCAAGTCAAATGGACAAAATCGCAGTTGCGGTTCTTAAAACTCAATGTTGACGCGACCATTGACAAGAAATGTGCTAAAATGAGCTTTGGCAGTGTGTTACGAGATGAGAATGAAAATTTTATTGCAACCAGGAGCATCCAATGAAGCGGTGCACATGTACCAAGGGAAGCGGATACGATAGTTGTTATATAAGCTATGAATTGGCTTAAGGATAAAAATTTTGATGATGTTGACATTGAAACATATTTTATCCAAGTGGTGCAATCTCTTAATTTTATTATGAGAGACTCTTCTTTTCATTTGATTTTCAAAGACATTAAACAGTTCATTAGTGAATTTTTTCATGTATTTGTTTAACAATTCGTGAATCGAACAACCTATACGTTAGCGAGACCATCGTTTTTATGCCGGGTTATTCTGAGTGGTTTCCAGTCCTCCTATCATTTGTAATTTTTTGTTGAGAAAATATCATTTTTAGTTCATCGACTATAATACATGTATCAATTTTAGTCATTGACTATTAAAATTTTCAAATTAGGTGCATAACTATTCAATTTGTATTACATTTAGTCCTTGACTATTAACATTTTTAAATTAGGTGCATAACTATTCAATTTGTATCACATTTAGTCCTTGACTATTAACATTTTCAAATTAGGTGCATGACTATTCAATTTGTATCACATTTAGTCCTGCAGTTATATTTTTTGGTTAATTTCCCTCCAAGTCACCGGTAAACGGCTAATTTATTTAATTTTTAGTTTAAAATTTATTTTAATAATTTTTAAATTAAATATAAATTTTTTTTTAAAAAAAAATAACAATAAAAAACGCCGACCAACCCCATCCTCTTCCTTCGTTTCCGGAGGAAGGGGGTCGGGGATAGAGAACGCTCGCCACCCCACCCTCTCTTCCCTCGTGTCCGGCAGAAATGAAGGAGGGAATGGGGTGACTTTTTTTTTCTAATTTTAAGATTTTTAATTTAAAATTTATTAAAATAAAAATTAAATAAATTAACCAGTCACATGTGACTGGCCAAAAAAATTTAATAACTTGACCAAATGTGATACAAAAATACAAATGCATTATTATATGCTCCATTTCTGAGTTGTACCATCAGTCCATCACTACCATCTACTACTGTACTAGTAGCTTCACCATAACAGATTTATAAGAGCATCCACACTTGTGGATAATATATGGGGAGATTTCAGAATTCATTCTTCTCAGTGGGGAGCAAAGTTAATGTAGGGGAGAATTAATTCAAGGAGAATTCATCTGCAATGGTAGAAATATTGCGAAAACCAAGAAAAAAAAGAGAGAAAGTAAATCTGACTTGCTGTGCGCCGCACGCGCCCGGCTGCGCGTCAGGTTCGGCGCGCCTGATCCTTCTTCTTTTTTAATTTTTTTTTGTTTTGTTTTGTTTTTTTTTTTTTTTGGTTTTTTTGTTTTTTTTTTCTCCCTTCTCACATTCTCTCTCATAATCACTCTTACATTATCTCCCAATTCTCTCCAACAATTATGGATGCTCTAATGCTCCTCAAATATTTCATCATGATATTTGATAACTAAATTTACTTTTTAAATGTTTTCAAAAAAAATTACTTTTTAAATAGTTGTGAAGTCTGACAATAATTGGAAACTTCAAGGGAGGAAGAAAGCATTTTCCATTTACGATACATAAAATACGGACTATTAATTTAATGATTCCTATTTACTGTCTCTTCTCCCAACTATTTCCATTTTCCGGCCGGGCAGCGCCGGCCCGACGATGGCCTTTCCATCGCCTCAAAGCAACACGATTGATAATGAAAATCATACAGTTCAGAAGTTATATTCAATTTTATCAGAAATGTACAGAAACTTAGGACAGTTCAACTAACTGCACTCATATGTCATATCAAACCACCTCAAATTTAAACAAAAAAAAAAAAAAAAATCAAGAACAAACCCTAGAATTGGCATGAATTTGGTGTAGAATTCAGGGATCAACCAACATGGAAAGGCCCGATATCGCCGCTCCTGAGTGAGCTAGCGATCTCGTCGGCGACAGTCAAGCAAGACAGCACCCACCCGCTCAGCGCCATCCACACCATCCTCGCCATCCACATCGTTATGCCCCACGGCACCGCCATGCTCGCTCCTCCACCGCCACTTCCGCTTCTGCAATCCCCTATCCGCTTCTTACAATCAATACAATTTCAGTGATTCAGCGAAGGTCCATCCCGAGATCAACCCTCAATTGGCGGTTACTGCCTCAAATTCGGCTGCTCCGGTGTGTAGGTTAAGCTTCGATATGCATGTGTAATGGTGTATGTATATGCGTGTGCAGAAGACAGAGATTTGGAGTCTGAATGGGGAAGAGAGAGAGTTTCGTAGTGGATTTCAAGGAATGATTATGTATATGAGACAGCAATTGTTGTTGATTGATTGATATTTCGAAGCTTGGCTATGTCGGCCAGATTGACAAGTAATGGAGGAAGGAAGAAGAAAGTTTCAATATCAATTTTGGCCCCTAAACTTCTCCATTTGTTACTTTGGTACTTCAGGATTAACTTTTGTCTTTTCTTTTGGAATGGGAAAAACTGCACTCCACGCTCAAGTAAATTATTGGCTAAAATGCCAATTTTGGCATAATATAATAAGGGGAATTCTATTTGCATCACCCTAATTACTATTTACACCATCTATTTAATAGGTGTGATAACTTTTAGATAATGTAGATAAAAAATTGCTATTTACACCACCTTTATTCATTTTAGTCAAACATTATTTTTTTTTAACAAATATTTATTATAAATGACACTTTTTCCCCTTAGGTATATACTTTTAACACTTTTTCTCTCTTAGTTATTCATGTATCTACATTTGTCTCATATAGTTATATTAAAAGTGGCATATTTTCTTCCTTTTATGTTTGATAGACATTTTTACCCTTAAAATTAAATATTTCATTTATTTTTTCTTCTCCAACAAATTATTGTTTAGATGTACGGATGGTCACGGTTCAGTTCAAACAAATTTTTTTACTTATTTTATTGCCAGTTCAAAACTTATTTATTTATTATAAATTTTATTTCTTATTTTTTTAAAAAAATAAATCTAATAATTATTTTATTGTATTTTATTTTTTCGGTTCTGAATCGTAAGCAAAGCCAAAGGGAGTTTCTTTTAATTTGCAATCACACGTGTTATATATTACTCTTTCGAACTTCATTCCAGTTAAAAAGTGGGAAAAAGTATTGATTTCTTAGGCTTTTGCAGTCATATTGAAGTTGACAATCCATTACGTTCCAATGACATTTTGGAGTGTGATTTTATATCTAAGATTATATTTGATTTCTCTCTTTCTGAGGAATGCACACCTTCATTAGAGGACATATATACTAGTAATCTACAATTACTTTGATTTAACAACAATTGATTTGTATATGATTATTATATATAATATGATTAAGCCAACTATCATGTAATATGATGACATTTCAAATAAATGGTCATAGGTCCGAACCTTGGGAGTGGAACTTAGATTCTTAGAGTTAAAAATGTTTAAGAAAATATAGAACAAATATAACTAATTGTGAAGGCACAACACAACTTTATTTTCTTATACTTACGATTCAGAATCGAAAAAATGAAATAAAATAAAAAATAAATAATTATTGAATTTATATTATTTTAAAAATAAGAAATAGAATTTATAATAAATAAATAAATAAATTTTGAATTGGCAAAAAAATAAAAAAATTGTTCGAAGCGAACCATAATCATTCCTACATATAAATCATAATTTGTTGGAGAAGAAAAAATAAATGAAATATTTAGTTTTAAGGGTAAAAATGTTCACCTAACATAAAATGGAGAAAACCTGCCACTTTTAATATAATTGAGGGAGCAAATGTGGATAAACAAATAATTGAGAGGAAAAAAGTGATATAATCATATAACTCAGATGAAAAAAGTGTACAATTTTCCCTTAACCGGAAACTTTTAATTCGATTGCTATAGTGTCCGGTTCAGTTAGACCGAACCGTGGTCATCCCTACGTATACGAAATAATTTGTTAAAGAAAAATAAATAAAATGTTTACTTTAAGGGTAGAAGTGTCAATTTAATATATCAGGGGGGAATCGTCACTTTTAGAATAATTGAGGGGCTAATATGCTAACATTAATAATTCAGGGGTAAAAAGTACTATAAGTATATAACTTAGGGGAAAAAATATTATTTTCTCTTAATTTAATTTTAAATTAAAAAATTATTAATTGCACCTCATAAATGAGGTTTGACCAAGGTGGTGCAAATAGCAAAAAGAACTCCCATTTGGCTATTTACACTACCTATGTAATTATTGAAAGTTTTTACCTTTTTACAATTTCAAGATACTTTATACATACTTTTGACCAAAGGGTGGTGCAAATAGCAACACCCTATAATAAATTGATAATAATGTGTAATTGTTTATAAAAAACTTTATAGTAAAAAATAATCTAGAGGTTATGTTAACTTTTCTTCCAAAATTTATATTTAATACGGATTACGGAGTATTGTTTTTTTTTTTATGTGATATTACATGATTAATTAATTTCTTAAATTTACCAGGACTATGTGGTCTAATGGTATCCAGGGTGGACTTCCAAGTGGAAGGT